TCCTTTTATCACTATTTCACTGTATTTTGAGTATTGTCACAGTAATAAAGCCTATAATGACGAAAAATAGAAAGAGTTAATGTTATAACCTGTCTATAACGATCTTCAAGACTGAGACTGAACTGAAGCGTTGATTGATATATTAAGCGTAATATATCAATCAACGACTGAAGCCTGAAGCGTGCCGTGAAAGACCTGGGAATCCCAGAATTCCCAGAGATCACAGAATGTAGAATGTTGTGAAGAGATGATGGAGAGACCATACTGGTGCTGCTTGCAGGGACGGACGGACAGGGACGTCTTCATTATAATATATTGTGAAATTCATCGATATTTTTAATGGTGAAATATATGATGAAATATTTTGATACGTGTCTACTTTATTTGGTACGGATATTTATTTGAAAAATTCTGGGGGGGTCTGGAAAAGACCGGGGGGGGTGGACCCCCCAGGCCCCCCATAGTTACGCCAGTGGATATTGTACTTCCTGCCGTTGTGATATACGGAAGTTCAAACAAACTGAAGCGCTAATAGTTGAAGGCATGCAATCCGCAGCGGCCGAAAGGGCTGAAAAGGGTTATGAAAAGCTGAAGAGAATTGTAGGGGACCTCCGTGTTTTAGTAACAAAAACACTGCGGAAAAAGTGGCATGCGCTTCTTATCTGACCAACGGTGGAAAATTTCGGGAAAACTCTGTGAAACTTCAATACAGGTTTTCCTTGATTCCACACTGCATGCCATTAGAAAGATACTTCATTGGTATTATTAATCAATAATAGGTGTTGAAAAGGAATATCCTCAGATAAAATTATGAACATAAAAAAAAACTTTCCTGGTTATATGCCACGACGAACCTTGAATTATATCTATTGAAAACACACGATAAGAATTTGAAAACAAAATCTTCTGAAGTTGAGAATTTGCATTCTCATTCAGATAAAAATATGTATATGCACATATCATTCTGAACATTCAACAGGAAACAACTACTTTCCTGGCTATTTGCCACGTCGAACATTGAATTATATCTGCTGAACATCCAGAAGGAGAACATGCATGAAAAATGAAAATCCTCTGAAATTTTGAATTGACAGTCTCTCCCAAATCGGATAAAATAATATGATATAAAAATATAACTCACCAATATGTTCAGTATTGAAATGAAAATTGAAATGAATAGGAGAAGTATTATACTTGTATAATCTCTGATCTTGATATTCTTGATGAGCTTGGAACTTCCAAGTGCGATATGGGAATTATATCTCCCCAGTTATTCTTTCAGCCATTCTTCATGATATACACAATTTTCATTTTTCTATAATATAATATAATATTCAGAATAATATTATGTGCAAATACATATTTTTAGCTAAAGGAGAATGCAAATTCTCAACTTCAGAAGATTTTGTTTCCAAATTCTTATTGTGCGTGCGTTCAACAGATATAATTCTATGTTCGTTAGCCAGGAAAGTAGTTGTTTTCTGTTGAATAAACCGAGAAAGAGTTGATATTCATCAATTCATCACATGGAGAATGCGAATTCCCAATGTATTTCTTTATACAATGTGTCCTAGCTAAAACCTGTCACTTCCCTTATCTCCGGAGTCGTTAAACAAATTGAACATCGCTCGGACAGGTCGATTTTTATTTGGCAGGGGACACATTTTTCTGTAATTGTCATATCCCAAAGTTGAAACCTTAAATTGGAACGGATTTCAACTTTCGATTTTCAAACGGGACACCCTGTATTTAATTGCATCTTTTTACTCCCTGAAGAGCTGATTCCATCAATGCATCACAGTTAGGGTCTAGCGCGAACGATTACTGATAAAGGGTGTTCAAAATCGAGATTTTTCAATTCTAGTAATTTTTTGTGACAAAACTATTCATTATCGGTCAAAGCAACTTTCATGCCCCTATCTGAACTTTTGATTTACTATCTATTGATATTCCATTGGAACAAATACAGGGTGGTTCCAGATTCAGAAATCTGATCACCCTGTATTTGTTCCAATTAAATATCATTAGATATGGATATGTTCTCTGCCAAATTAAAATTGACCTGCCGAGTCATTTTCAATTTTGTTGGCGACTTCGGAACTAAGGAGGGTGACAAGTTCTAGCTGGGACACCCTGTATATATATCCATTGTTTTATGTTCATAATTTCATCTCAGAATATTCCTTTTCAATACTTTCACCCAATCATGGGGTTCAAACATAATAATAGGTGATATGGCATGCATACCAGGATTTCGCAAAATAGAGACATGCATATCTCTATTTTGGAAAATCCTGGAGTGCATGCCAGATTACCTACTATTAATTAATTATACAAATGAAGTATGTTGCAAATGGCATACAGTATGGAATCACGGAATTTGTATTGAATATTCACCGAATTTTGCCGAAATTTTCCAACGTTGGTCAGAAGAGGGTGGCATGCCAATCCTACCAGAGTGTCTTTGTTACTAAAACTTCAATTCTTTACATCGACACCAATTCGAAAATACGGAAGTCTCCTTTAATTTTCTTCAGTTTTTCGTAACCCTTTTCAGCCCTTTCAGCCGATGCGGATTGCATGCCATCAATTATTAGCGCTTCAGTTTTTTTGAACCTCCGTATATTAAAACGACAGGCGTATAATATCGCAACAAACACGAAAATTCTTCACAAAATGAAAAGCGATTTTCCTTATAAAGTGCACAAGTGCGGCGGCCAGGAACCCGTTTTTTGTTTATATTTTGGGGATAACGTCACCTGCCACCATCTCCTGGTCTATCTCACATCAGTTTTGTAAAAACCACGTGAGATCAATTGCTAGTACATCAAACTTGGTTTTCTGTTTCGGGCCAGGATCTATTTCACTTCCAGTCAGCTGCTTATGATCTATATAAGGCACAGATCCGACCTGGCCTGGAATACTGTTCCCATATTTGGAGTGCAGCACCCAAACATAACCTGAAACTGTTGGATTCTGTCCAAAAAAGGGCAATTCGTCTCGTGGGTGATGCCTCGCTCACAAACTCACTCACTTCTCTGGAACACCGAAGAAAAGTTGGCGATCTGGCTCTATTTTATAGATATTTTCATGGACGATGCCCTTCTGAAATATCAACAATTGTTCCTCTCTTGGCAGTCCCCACGAAATAAACCCGTCGAGTTTAGGCTTCGCATCCCTTCGTGGTCACTTTGGAGACCTGCAGAATATTTCTTCCCAAAGACTCGTTCATCCAACGACCAGCGTTGCTCTGGAACACAATGCCAAGGGAGGTGTTTCCCGAGTCATATAACCTCCAGAAATGTAAGAAGAACACCAATTCCTACCTCATTTCCCTTGGTTCTCGCGATGTTCTCTGAACATTACAGGATATCCCTTTTCGTGGAAACCAGAACATAAAAAATAGCACTATACATCAGTTTTGGAATACTTTTTTATCATAAAAATGGTTGAGATTCTTGACAGAAATATAAAGTCATATGTATTCTTTTCATAGAGCTCACTTCTATCAAAATGAAATTTGAAAATTATTAATCCTACGAGCGTGCGCAAAGTAGTACTTTTCCGCACAGATTTGCGTGCGCAAAGTAATACTTTTCTGCACTCATTGCGGTTATGGGTGTTATCCGCACGGCGTGCGAATAAGTAAAACTACCCAAAAATCTCACTGGTATGGAAAATTTATATTCCATTTAGGTGCTGTAGACTATTGTATGCACTATCAGAAGCCGTTATCCCTTCTACTTTTCAACCGTTCTTCCCGATATTTGTATTTCACCTCAATATAAATTATAGGAACAAATGATTTAATTTTCTATCATTATATTTTATTGATATGTAATTGTTTGTTGTTTAGCTATTTCTATCAAGTTTAACTAAAAATTATTCAATGAGTTGAATTTTTGTTTATTTTCGTTGTTATCTATATGAAGCTCGTAGGGAAAATGTGATTATATTTTATTGTTATATGTGATTGTTGTATAGTTACATTTTTCAATAAGTTATAATTTTTTTCATTTTCCTTTTTATCTGATATGAAGCTCGTAGGAAAAACGTTGTTCCTAACACGTGGGCAAAATATCTTTTCCGCACGCAAAAACTTATTCGAACTCCGCTCCGCGTCGTTCGCCTAATTGTATTTGCGTGTGGAAAAGTAACACTTTGCGCACTTGTTAGGAAAATAACTATTGTCTACTTCTGCGGGAAAATCCACTTTTCGCACTCATTTTAGTGTTGAAACAGTCCCATTTTCGCACAAGTGCGGAATAAAGTTTTTTTGGGAAAGTGAATTTGTTGAGTTTATGGGAAGTATACTGCCATTTGAATATTCAATAATAATGAATGTTCCTCGTTGTTCACTTTCGGGTTTTTCAGCACGCTAGTAGAAAGAATATGGTACCTAACACGTGGGTAAAGTGACATTTTCGCACGCGATTGCTGGCCGAACTCTGCTCCGCACTTGTCAGGTAAACTAATATTTCCTGTAGTTTTCTATATGAATTTTGTATGAAATTGATTTGTTTGAAGATTTATGTACTCGAAGAAACTTTTGTCAGTGCCTAAATAAAAACGAAACTAATCAATATTTTTATGAAAAGCAGTTTTGCAAATGAACGCTTGTTTGCTTTTTCATCCTTTTGGTATATTGTGACATATTATATTATTATAGCAATATGTTATTGATTGTTATTGAAAACAATGCATTTTTTTATGCAATGCTTCCGTGTATACCTACGCATCAAAATATTTTTGTAGACAATCGAAAATCCTGTTCAAATGATTTTGTTATTGGAGACTATTGAATCGAAAAACTTGGTGAGGAATGAATAAACACAAAATTTCTACAGTTTTTATCTTGAACAAACATTAATGAATGAATCGAATCTATTCAGTCACATTAAGGAACTTATTATTGAGAAATTCATGAGTATAAAAGGAAGCAGTTTCAGAAAGAAGGCACCAGTTCAAGTGATCATAGAGTAGGTAGTAGCATTTCCAAAATGCATCTAAAACTACTCATTTTGTTCATTTTGACTTCAAACTATGTAAGTATGTCCATTATATTTATTGCTCAAATATTCAAAATAGTTTACGACAAATGAACCGTATCTGAGAATTGTTAGTATTTCAAACAAAATGATATATGACGTATTATTCCTTTCAATGTCATCTAATTGTTTTTTATAGTATTATATCCATTGCAACCCCTGTAGTATCGATTATTTTTATCAGTCTTGATGAACTTCGTTCTCGTAAGGTAAGTATTACTATAAAGAACATTCCAACAAACTAGTGCCTTCATTTTTGTCCATAATCGTGGTCAAATACGACCATTTTCATGGACTCGAATTTCCAAACATATCAGTGCAGTTTTTTTTTTTTAAACTAACGAAAGGTCGGGTATTTTTCCATCATGCTGGAAGATAGCTAGAGTCCAACCAATCCCCAAAAAAGGAAACAAGAACCTGCCCAATAACTACAGGCCCATTGCCCTGTTATCAGTAATCTCCAAAGTGATGGAGAAAGCCATCAATATTGTGCTATTGTGCATATCAAATATCTGGAGAGCTCAGGAATCATCAATGATAGACAATACGGCTTTTGCCACCGGAGATCTACTGGAGATCTACTTGCCTACGTCACCCATTTATGGCAAGCTTCATTAGAAAAACACGGGGAACCTCTAGCTGTCGAGTTGGACATATCGAAAACATTCGACCGTGTTTGGCACGAAGGACTCCTCCACAAACTACCATATCATACGGCTTACCACCTCAGCTTATCAGCTATGCCATCTCTTATCGAGTTTTCTTTCAGGCAGATCGTTTCACGTGGTGGTGGACGGTGTATCGTCTGATGAAATCAATTCCGGCGTTCCACAAGGATCAATTTTGGCACCATTATTACTTCTTCATATCAATGATCTGTTGGGAGTAACAACTTGCCCCATCCACAGCTTTGCAGATGATAGTACTCTCCATACTGCGTTCTCTTCCAGAATTCCCATTTCTTCCCAGGAAATTAAGAACTCACGGCACAGGCAGGCCAATGCTGTCCATGAAGACCTTGCTGCCTTCACAGGCTGGGGAACCAACAACCTAGTTGAATTCAACGCCACCAAAACTCAAACCTGTATTTTCTCTAGAAAGGCGGAACTCAGTATGCCCGATAGTGTAATGTCTGGCATCACCATCCCCACCAAGCCGACCATATCTATGATCGGTATTTCCATCAGCAACACTCTTTCATGGGATAATCATGTCAGATCCATCGCAAAAGCTGCTTCACAAAAACTCGGATTCTTGTTCCGAAAGTACGAAAAGCTACTTTACACCTCAACAGCTTCTCATGATCTACAAAGCGCAGATACGGCCTGTTCTAGAATACTGTTTCCACATATGGGGTTCAGCACCAAACCATACGCTGATGCTCTTTGATTCCATCCAGAGAAGAGCCATTCGCCTGGTGGGTGATGCCACACTCACTCACTCTTTGACATCATTGGAACACCGTAGAAAGGTCGGTCACTTTTCTATCGATACTTCCACGGGAAATGTTCTTCGGAAATCTCTGCGATCATCCCTCCACTAGCAATACCAGTCAGACGAACTAGACAAGCCCAGTCAGCACATCCTTTCGTTGTCAACCTCGAAAGATGTCGAACAGCACTTTATCAAAACTCCTTCATCCATAGAACGGCTAGGCTCTGGAATTCATTGCCTGAGGAAGTATTCCGAACAACATAATATAATCTCCAGAAGTTCAAAAGAAATTCCAATGCCTACCTCCTGTCCCTATCCTCCCTAGGAACGCACGATGTTCTTAGAACATTATAGGGATTTCCTTTCGTGCGCTCCAAGCGATAAAATAAATATTTAGAAACATATTTGAAACATAAGGCTGCGACGATTTTCATCATTTTGAAATGATAGGTTTTCTACGAATAAGCAAATGAATAATGCAGTTTATCACACACTGTATTTTAAAATGATGAAGATAGGTATAGATATGTTCAAAGTCAATGAAAATTCATCGTTAGATCTGAAAAAAAAAACAGTTGCAGATTCGATAGTCTACTAAATAAAGAGAACTTCGAACTCATAAGTGTGAAGAAAATATTTTCAAGAATCAAAAATAATTTCATGATTTCAACTCAAGTACCTATATCGTATATCTCAAAATTGGAGTTGAACAAGGAATTCAAAGATCTCTAATCAAACACTTGGTCCAAATCATCTCATGTCCTTTCGACGCATTCGAATAATCATACGTTTATCTCGATGGAACGATATTTTCGATATAGTTCAGAGTTATGAATATTGTATGAGTTCTATGTGATTTATAATTGCAGGATTTCACCGAGGGAAGAGATGATAATTATCATACCAAATCTACGACTATTGCACCCGTGACAAGTACGAGTGAATCGACGACCGATGAGATTACAACTGAGAAACCCACTTCTGTATCGACATCACCGACAACAGAACAAACAACACCATCTACTGCAACAACAACTCAATCCACCTCTCCAAGTGAGTCAACTACGAAAGAGACTACGACAACTGAGAAATCCTCTTCTGCTTCGACAACACGGAATACAGAAGAAACTGCAAGAACGCCTACCACCGAACAATCAACATCGTCAACTGTAACAACAACTCAATCTACTACTACGGAAAAGGCGACTACAGAACCTACTACAACAAGAACAACAGCCAAACCAACAACACCGTCTACTATAAGAACAACTCAACCTACGTCCACGGAGGAGACGACTAAGGAACCTACTACAACAAGAACAACCATCGAACCAACACAATCTACTGAAACGACAACTCAACCGACTACCACAGACGAGACGACTTCGGAACCTACTACAACAAAAACAACAACCAAACCAACAACACCGCCGACTGTAACAACAACTCAATCTACCACCACCGAAGAGACGACAACTAAACCTACTACAACAAGAACAACCACCAAACCAACAACACCAACAACTGTGACAACAACTCAATCTACTACCACAGAGAAGACGACTACGAAACCAACTACAACCAGATCGACCACTGAACCAACAACACCAACAACTGTGACAACAACAAAATCTACTACCACAGAGGAGACGACTACGAAACCTACCACAACAAGAACAACCACTAAACCAACAACACCGTCGAGTGAAACAACAACTCGATCTACAACAACAGAGGAGACGACTAATAAACCTACTACAACTAGAGCAATCACTCACCCAACAGCACTGTCAACTGTAACAACAACTGAATCAACCACTTCGAGTGGATCAAGTACAAAAGAAACTACAAAAACTGAGAAACCCACTTCGCCTTCGACAACAGTTAGTACAGAACAAACCACAACTGAGAAAGAAAGTTACTCCGAATGTAACCCAACTGCGAGAAATACTCCTTCCAAACCTACAAAATCTACAAGGCAGACAACAACAAAAAAAACCAAAACTACGAGAACAACTACAACAAAACCAACGAAAACCACAAGAAGGACCACTCCAAAAACTACCAGAACTAAGAAAACGCCTGCAACGAAACCAACAAAAACTACCAAAATGACAACAACAAAACCTTCCAAGACAACGAAAACGTCTACTACAAAACCAACGAAGACTACAAAACCTACTACTGCGAAGCCGACAACACCGACAACCGTGACAACAACTCAAACTACTACTACAGAGGATACGACTACGAAACCTACTACCACGAAAACAACTCCAGAACCAACAACCCCGACAACTGAGACAACAACTCAATCCACAACTCAATCCACCACCACAGAGGAGACGACTGCGAAACCAACAACAACAAGAACAACTACAAAACCAACAACTCCGACAACTGAGACAACAACTCGATCTACTACCACAGAGGAGACGACAACGAAACCTACCACAACTAGAACAACCACTGACCCAACAACACCAACAACTGTGACGACAACTCAATCAACTACCACAGAAGGGACGAATACGAAACCTACAACAACAAGAACAACTACAAAACCAACAACACCGACAACTGAAACAACAACTCGATCAACTACCACAGAGGAGACGAAAACGAAACCTATCACAACTAGAACAACCACTGAACCAACAACACCAACAACTGTGACGACAACTCAATCAACTACCACAGAAGAGACGACTACGAAACCTACAACAACAAGAACAACTACAAATCCAACAACACCGACAACTGAGACAACAACTCAATCTACTACCACAGAGGAGACGACAACGAAACCTACCACAACTAGAACAACCACTGAACCAACAACACCAACAACTGTGACGACAACTCAATCAACTACCACAAAAGAGACGACTACGAAACCTACAACAACAAGAACAACTACAAAACCAACAACACCGACAACTGAGACAACAACTCAATCTACTACCACAGAGGAGACGACAACGAAACCTACCACAACTAGAACAAAAACAAAACCAACAACACCAACAACTGTGACAACTCAATCAACTACCACAGAAGAGACGACTTCGAAACCTACAACAACAAGAACAACTACAAAACCAACAACACCGACAACTGAGACAACAACTCGATCTACTACCACAGAGGAGACGACAACGAAACCTACCACAACTAGAACAACCACTGAACCAACAACAACAACAACTGTGACGACAACTCAATCAACTACCACAGAAGAGACGACTACGAAACCTACAACAACAAGAACAACTACAAAACCAACAACACCGACAACTAAAACAACAACTGGATCAACTACCACAGAGGAGACGACTACGGAACCGACTACAACAAAAACAACTTCAGAAACAACAACTCCGACAACTGAGACAACAACTCGATCTACTACCACAGAGGAGACGACAACGAAACCTACCACAACTAGAACAACCACTGTACCAACAACACCAACAACTGTGACGACAACTCAATCCACCACCACAGAGGAGACGACTACGAAACCAACTACAACCAGAACAACCACTAAACCAACAACACCAACAACTGAAACAACAACTCGATCTACTACCACAGAGGAGACGACAACGAAACCTACCACAACTAGAACAACCACTGAACCAACAACACCAACAACTGTGACGACAACTCAATCAACTACCACAGAAGAGACGACTACGAAACCTACAACAACAAGAACAACTACAAAACCAACAACACCGACAACTGAAACAACAACTCGATCAACTACCACAGAGGAGACGACAACGAAACCTACCACAACTAGAACAACCACTGAACCAACAACACCAACAACTGTGACGACAACTCAATCAACTACCACAGAAGAGACGACTACGAAACCTACAACAACAAGAACAACTACAAAACCAACAACACCGACAACTGAAACAACAACTCGATCAACTACCACAGAGGAGACGACTACGAAACCTACCACAACTAGAACAACCACTGAACCAACAACACCAACAACTGTGACGACAACTCAATCAACTACCACAGAAGAGACGACTACGAAACCTACAACAAGAACAACTACAAAACCAACAACACCGACAACTGAAACAACAACTCGATCAACTATCACAGGGGAGACGACAACGAAACCTACCACAACTAGAACAACCACTGAACCAACAACACCAACAACTGTGACGACAACTCAATCAACTACCACAGAAGAGACGACTACGAAACCTACAACAACAAGAACAACTACAAAACCAACAACACCGACAACTGAAACAACAACTCGATCAACTATCACAGAGGAGACGACAACGAAACCTACCACAACTAGAACAACCACTGAACCAACAACACCAACAACTGTGACGACAACTCAATCAACTACCACAGAAGAGACGACTACGAAACCTACAACAACAAAAACAACTACAAAACCAACAACACCGACAACTGAAACAACAACTCGATCAACTACCACAGAGGAGACGACAACGAAACCTACCACAACTAGAACAACCACTGAACCAACAACACCAACAACTGTGACGACAACTCAATCAACTACCACAGAAGAGACGACTACGAAACCTACAACAACAAGAACAACTACAAAACCAACAACACCGACAACTGAAACAACAACTCGATCAACTACCACAGAGGAGACGACAACGAAACCTACCACAACTAGAACAACCACTGAACCAACAACACCAACAACTGTGACAACTCAATCAACTACCACAGAAGAGACGACTACGAAACCTACAACAACAAGAACAACTACAAAACCAACAACACCGACAACTGAAACAACAACTCGATCAACTACCACAGAGAAGACGACAACGAAACCTACCACAACTAGAACAACCACTGAACCAACAACACCAACAACTGTGACGACAACTCAATCAACTACCACAGAAGAGACGACTACGAAACCTACAACAACAAGAACAACTACAAAACCAACAACACCGACAACTGAGACAACAACTCGATCTACTACCACAGAGGAGACGACAACGAAACCTACCACAACTAGAACAACCACTGAACTAACAACACCAACAACTGTGACGACAACTCAATCAACTACCACAGAAGAGACAACTACGAAACCTACAACAACAAAAACAACTACAAATTCAACAACACCGACAACTGAAACAACAACTCGATCAACTACCACAGAGGAGACGACAACGAAACCTACCACGACTAGAACAACCACTGAACCAACAACACCAACAACTGTGACGACAACTCAATCAACTACCACAGAAGAGACGACTACGAAACCTACAACAACAAGAACAACTACAAAACCAACAACACCGACAACTGAAACAACAACTCGATCAACTACCACAGAGAAGACGACAACGAAACCTACCACAACTAGAACAACCACTGAACCAACAACACCAACAACTGTGACGACAACTCAATCAACTACCACAGAAGAGACGACTACGAAACCTACAACAACAAGAACAACTACAAAACCAACAACACCGACAACTGAAACAACAACTCGATCAACTACCACAGAGGAGACGACAACGAAACCTACCACAACTAGAACAACCACTGAACCAACAACACCAACAACTGTGACGACAACTCAATCAACTACCACAGAAGAGACGACTACGAAACCTACAACAACAAGAACAACTACAAAACCAACAACACCGACAACTGAAACAACAACTCGATCAACTACCACAGAGGAGACGACTACGAAACCTACCACAACTAGAACAACCACTGAACCAACAACACCAACAACTGTGACGACAACTCAATCAACTACCACAGAAGAGACGACTACGAAACCTACAACAACAAGAACAACTACAAAACCAACAACACCGACAACTGAAACAACAACTCGATCAACTATCACAGGGGAGACGACAACGAAACCTACCACAACTAGAACAACCACTGAACCAACAACACCAACAACTGTGACGACAACTCAATCAACTACCACAGAAGAGACGACTACGAAACCTACAACAACAAGAACAACTACAAAACCGACAACACCGACAACTGAAACAACAACTCGATCAACTACCCCAGAGGAGACGACAACGAAACCTACCACAACTAGAACAACCACTGAACTAACAACACCAACAACTGTGACGACAACTCAATCAACTACCACAGAAGAGACGACTACGAAACCTACAACAACAAGAACAACTACAAAACCAACAACACCGAAAACTGAGACAACAACTCGATCTACTACCACAGAGGAGACGACAACGAAACCTATCACAACTAGAACAACCACTGAACCAACAACACCAACAACTGTGACGACAACTCAATCAACTACCACAGAAGAGACGACTACGAAACCTACAACAACAAAAACAACTACAAAACCAACAACACCGACAACTGAAACAACAACTCGATCAACTACCACAGAGGAGACGACAACGAAACCTACCACAACTAGAACAACCACTGAACCAACAACACCAACAACTGTGACGACAACTCAATCAACTACCACAGAAGAGACGACTACGAAACCTTCAACAACAAGAACAACTACAAAACCAACAACACCGACAACTGAAACAACAACTCGGTCAACTACCACAGAGGAGACGACAACGAAACCTACCACAACTAGGACAACCACTGAACCAACAACACCAACAACTGTGACAACTCAATCAACCACCACAGAAGAGACGACTACGAAACCTACAACAAGAACAACTACAAAACCAACAACACGGACAACTGAAACAACAACTCGATCAACTACCACAGAGAAGACGACAACGAAACCTACCACAACTAGAACAACCACTGAACCAACAACACCAACAACTGTGACGACAACTCAATCAACTACCACAGAAGAGACGACTACGAAACCTACAACAACAAGAACAACTACAAAACCAACAACACCGACAACTGAGACAACAACTCGATCTACTACCACAGAGGAGACGACAACGAAACCTACCACAACTAGAACAACCACTGAACTAACAACACCAACAACTGTGACGACAACTCAATCAACTACCACAGAAGAGACAACTACGAAACCTACAACAACAAAAACAACTACAAAACCAACAACACCGACAACTGAAACAACAACTCGATCAACTACCACAGAGGAGACGACAACGAAACCTACCACGACTAGAACAACCACTGAACCAACAACACCAACAACTGTGACGACAACTCAATCAACTACCACAGAAGAGACGACTACGAAACCTACAACAACAAGAACAACTACAAAACCAACAACACCGACAACTGAAACAACAACTCGATCAACTACCACAGAGGAGACGACAACAAAACCTACCACAACTAGAACAACCACTGAACCAACAACACCAACAACTGTGACAACTCAATCAACTACCACAGAAGAGACGACTACGAAACCTACAACAACAAGAACAACTACAAAACCAACAACACCGACAACTGAAACAACAACTCGATCAACTACCACAGAGAAGACGACAACGAAACCTACCACAACTAGAACAACCACTGAACCAACAACACCAACAACTGTGACGACAACTCAATCAACTACCACAGAAGAGACGACTACGAAACCTACCACAACTAGAACAACCACTGAACCAACAACACCAACAACTGTGACGACAACTCAATCAACTACCACAGAAGAGGCGACTACGAAACCTACAACAACAAGAACAACTACAAAACCAACAACACCGACAACTGAAACAACAACTCGATCAACTACCACAGAGGAGACGACAACGAAACCTACCACAACTGGAACAACCACTGAACCAACAACACCAACAACTGTGACGACAACTCAATCAACTACCACAGAAGAGACGACTACGAAACCTACAACAACAAGAACAACTACGAAACCAACAACACCGACAACTGAAACAACAACTCGATCAACTACCACAGAGGAGACGACAACGAAACCTACCACAACTAGAACAACCACTGAACCAACAACACCAACAACTGTGACGACAACTCAATCAACTACCACAGAAGAGACGACTACGAAACCTTCAACAAAAAGAACAACTACAAAACCAACAGCACCTACAACTGAAACAACAACTCGATCTACTACCACAGAGGAGACGACAACGAAACCTACCACAACTAGAACAACCACTGAACTAACAACACCAACAACTGTGACGACAACTCAATCAACTACCACAGAAGAGACAACTACGAAACCTACAACAACAAAAACAACTACAAAACCAACAACACCGACAACTGAAACAACAACTCGATCAACTACCACAGAGGAGACGACAACGAAACCTACCACAACTAGAACAACCACTGAACCAACAACACCAACAACTGTGACGACAACTCAATCAACTACCACAGAAGAGACGACTACGAAACCTACAACAACAAGAACAACTACAAAACCAACAACACCGACAACTGAAACAACAACTCGATCAACTACCACAGAGGAGAAGACAACAAAACCTACCACAACTAGAACAACCACTGAACCAACAACACCAACAACTGTGACAACTCAATCAACTACCACAGAAGAGACGACTACGAAACCTACAACAACAAGAACAACTACAAAACCAACAACACCGACAACTGAAACAACAACTCGATCAACTACCACAGAGAAGACGACAACGAAACCTACCACAACTAGAACAACCACTGAACCAACAACACCAACAACTGTGACGACAACTCAATCAACTACCACAGAAGAGACGACTACGAAACCTACCACAACTAGAACAACCACTGAACCAACAACACCAACAACTGTGACGACAACTCAATCAACTACCACAGAAGAGACGACTACGAAACCTACAACAACAAGAACAACTACAAAACCAACAACACCGACAACTGAAACAACAACTCGATCTACTACCACAGAGGAGACGACAACGAAACCTACCACAACTAGAACAACCACTGAACTAACAACACCAACAACTGTGACGACAACTCAATCAACTACCACAGAAGAGACAACTACGAAACCTACAACAACAAAAACAACTACAAAACCAACAACACCGACAACTGAAACAACAACTCGATCAACTACCACAGAGGAGACGACAACGAAACCTACCACAACTAGAACAACCACTGAACCAACAACACCAACAACTGTGACGACAACTCAATCAACTACCACAGAAGAGACGACTACGAAACCTACAACAACAAGAACAACTACAAAACCAACAACACCGACAACTGGAACAACAACTCGATCAACTACCACAGAGGAGACGACAACAAAACCTACCACAACTAGAACAACCACTGAACCAACAACACCAACAACTGTGACAACTCAATCAACTACCACAGAAGAGACGACTACGAAACCTACAACAACAAGAACAACTACAAAACCAACAACACCGACAACTGAAACAACAACTCGATCAACTACCACAGAGAAGACGACAACGAAACCTACCACAACTAGAACAACCACTGAACCAACAACACCAACAACTGTGACGACAACTCAATCAACTACCACAGAAGAGACGACTACGAAACCTACCACAACTAGAACAACCACTGAACCAACAACACCAACAACTGTGACGACAACTCAATCAACTACCACAGAAGAGACGACTACGAAACCTACAACAACAAGAACAACTACAAAACCAACAACACCGACAACTGAAACAACAACTCGATCAACTACCACAGAGGAGACGACAACGAAACCTACCACAACTAGAACAACCACTGAACCAACAACACCAACAACTGTGACGACAACTCAATCAACTACCACAGAAGAGACGACTACGAAACCTACAACAACAAGAACAACTACAAAACCAACAACACCGACAACTGAAACAACAACTCGATCAACTACCACAGAGGAGACGACAACGAAACCTACCACAACTAGAACAACCACTGAACCAACAACACCAACAACTGTGACGACAACTCAATCAACTACCACAGAAGAGACGACTACGAAACCTACAACAACAAGAACAACTACAAAACCAACAACACCGACAACTGAAACAACAACTCGATCAACTACCACAGAGGAGACGACAACGAAACCTACCACAACTAGAACAACCACTGAACCAACAACACCAACAACTGTGACGACAACTCAATCAACTACCACAGAAGAGACGACTACGAAACCTTCAACAACAAGAACAACTACAAAACCAACAACACCGACAACTGAAACAACAACTCGATCAACTACCACAGAGGAGACGACAACGAAACCTACCACAACTAGGACAACCACTGAACCAACAACACCAACAACTGTGACAACTCAATCAACCACCACAGAAGAGACGACTACGAAACCTACAACAAGAACAACTACAAAACCAACAACACCGACAACTGAAACAACAACTCGATCAACTACCACAGAGAAGACGACAACGAAACCTACCACAACTAGAACAACCACTGAACCAACAACACCAACAACTGTGACGACAACTCAATCAACTACCACAGAAGAGACGACTACGAAACCTACAACAACAAGAACAACTACAAAACCAACAACACCGACAACTGAGACAACAACTCGATCTACTACCACAGAGGAGACGACAACGAAACCTACCACAACTAGAACAACCACTGAACTAACAACACCAACAACTGTGACGACAACTCAATCAACTACCACAGAAGAGACAACTACGAAACCTACAACAACAAAAACAACTACAAAACCAACAACACCGACAACTGAAACAACAACTCGATCAACTACCACAGAGGAGACGACAACGAAACCTACCACGACTAGAACAACCACTGAACCAACAACACCAACAACTGTGACGACAACTCAATCAACTACCACAGAAGAGACGACTACGAAACCTACAACAACAAGAACAACTACAAAACCAACAACACCGACAACTGAAACAACAACTCGATCAACTACCACAGAGGAGACGACAACAAAACCTACCACAACTAGAACAACCACTGAACCAACAACACCAACAACTGTGACAACTCAATCAACTACCACAGAAGAGACGACTACGAAACCTACAACAACAAGAACAACTACAAAACCAACAACACCGACAACTGAAACAACAACTCGATCAACTACCACAGAGAAGACGACAACGAAACCTACCACAACTAGAACAACCACTGAACCAACAACACCAACAACTGTGACGACAACTCAATCAACTACCACAGAAGAGACGACTACGAAACCTACCACAACTAGAACAACCACTGAACCAACAACACCAACAACTGTGACGACAACTCAATCAACTACCACAGAAGAGACGACTACGAAACCTACAACAACAAGAACAACTACAAAACCAACAACACCGACAACTGAAACAACAACTCGATCAACTACCACAGAGGAGACGACAACGAAACCTACCACAACTAGAACAACCACTGAACCAACAACACCAACAACTGTGACGACAACTCAATCAACTACCACAGAAGAGACGACTACGAAACCTACAACAACAAGAACAACTACAAAACCAACAACACCGACAACTGAAACAACAACTCGATCAACTACCACAGAGGAGACGACAACGAAACCTACCACAACTAGAACAACCACTGAACCAACAACACCAACAACTGTGACGACAACTCAATCAACTACCACAGAAGAGACGACTACGAAACCTTCAACAACAAGAACAACTACAAAACCAACAACACCGACAACTGAAACAACAACTCGATCTACTACCACAGAGGAGACGACAACGAAACCTACCACAACTAGAACAACCACTGAACTAACAACACCAACAACTGTGACGACAACTCAATCAACTACCACAGAAGAGACAACTACGAAACCTACAACAACAAAAACAACTACAAAACCAACAACACCGACAACTGAAACAACAACTCGATCAACTACCACAGAGGAGACGACAACGAAACCTACCACAACTAGAACAACCACTGAACCAACAACACCAACAACTGTGACGACAACTCAATCAACTACCACAGAAGAGACGACTACGAAACCTACAACAACAAGAACAACTACAAAACCAACAACACCGACAACTGAAACAACAACTCGATCAACTACCACAGAGGAGACGACATCAAAACCTACCACAACTAGAACAACCACTGAACCAACAACACCAACAACTGTGACAACTCAATCAACTACCACAGAAGAGACGACTACGAAACCTACAACAACAAGAACAACTACAAAACCAACAACACCGACAACTGAAACAACAACTCGATCAACTACCACAGAGAAGACGACAACGAAACCTACCACAACTAGAACAACCACTGAACCAACAACACCAACAACTGTGACGACAACTCAATCAACTACCACAGAAGAGACGACTACGAAACCTACCACAACTAGAACAACCACTGAACCAACAACACCAACAACTGTGACGACAACTCAATCAACTACCACAGAAGAGACGACTACGAAACCTACAACAACAAGAACAACTACAAAACCAACAACACCGACAACTGAAACAACAACTCGATCTACTACCACAGAGGAGACGACAACGAAACCTACCACAACTAGAACAACCACTGCACTAACAACACCAACAACTGTGACGACAACTCAATCAACTACCACAGAAGAGACAACTACGAAACCTACAACAACGAAAACAACTACAAAACCAACAACACCGACAACTGAAACAACAACTCGATCAACTACCACAGAGGAGACGACAACGAAACCTACCACAACTAGAACAACCACTGAACCAACAACACCAACAACTGTGACGACAACTCAATCAACTACCACAGAAGAGACGACTACGAAACCTACAACAACAAGAACAACTACAAAACCAACAACACCGACAACTGAAACAACAACTCGATCAACTACCACAGAGGAGACGACAACAAAACCTACCACAACTAGAACAACCACTGAACCAACAACACCAACAACTGTGACAACTCAATCAACTACCACAGAAGAGACGACTACGAAACCTACAACAACAAGAACAACTACAAAACCAACAACACCGACAACTGAAACAACAACTCGATCAACTACCACAGAGAAGACGACAACGAAACCTACCACAACTAGAACAACCACTGAACCAACAACACCAACAACTGTGACGACAACTCAATCAACTACCACAGAAGAGACGACTACGAAACCTACAACAACAAGAACAACTACAAAACCAACAACACCGACAACTGAAACAACAACTCGATCAACTATCACAGAGGAGACGACAACGAAACCTACCACAACTAGAACAACCACTGAACCAACAACACCAACAACTGTGACGACAACTCAATCAACTACCACAGAAGAGACGACTACGAAACCTACAACAAGAACAACTACAAAACCGACAACACCGACAACTGAAACAACAACTCGATCAACTACCACAGAGGAGACGACAACGAAACCTACCACAACTAGAACAACCACTGAACTAACAACACCAACAACTGTGACGACAACTCAATCAACTACCACAGAAGAGACGACTACGAAACCTACAACAACAAGAACAACTACAAAACCAACAACACCGACAACTGAGACAACAACTCGATCTACTACCACAGAGGAGACGACAACCAAACCTACCACAACTAGAACAACCACTGAACCAACAACACCAACAACTGTGACGACAGCTCAATCAACTACCACAGAAGAGACGACTACGAAACCTACAACAACAAAAACAACTACAAAACCAACAACACCGACAACTGAAACAACAACTCGATCAACTACCACAGAGGAGACGACAACGAAACCTACCACAACTAGAACAACCACTGAACCAACAACACCAACAACTGTGACGACAACTCAATCAACTACCACAGAAGAGACGACTACGAAACCTACAACAACAAGAACAACTACAAAACCAACAACACCGACAACTGAAACAACAACTCGATCAACTACCACAGAGGAGACGACAACGAAACCTACCACAACTAGAACAACCACTGAACCAACAACACCAACAACTGTGACGACAACTCAATCAACTACCACAGAAGAGACGACTACGAAACCTACCACAACTAGAACAACCACTGAACCAACAACACCAACAACTGTGACGACAACTCAATCAACTACCACAGAAGAGACGACTACGAAACCTACAACAACAAGAACAACTACAAAACCAACAACACCGACAACTGAAACAACAACTCGATCAACTACCACAGAGGAGACGACAACGAAACCTACCACAACTAGAACAACCACTGAACCAACAACACCAACAACTGTGACGACAACTCAATCAACTACCACAGAAGGGACGACTACGAAACCTACAACAACAAGAACAACTACAAAACCAACAACACCGACAACTGAAACAACAACTCGATCAACTACCACAGAGGAGACGACAACGAAACCTACCACAACTAGAACAACCACTGAACCAACAACACCAACAACTGTGACGACAACTCAATCAACTACCACAGAAGAGACGACTACGAAACCTTCAACAACAAGAACAACTACAAAACCAACAACACCGACAACTGAGACAACCACTCGATCTACTACCACAGAGGAGACGACAACGAAACCTACCACAACTAGAACAACCACTGAACCAACAACACCAACAACTGTGACGACAACTCAATCAACTACCACAGAAGAGACGACTACGAAACCTACAACAACAAGAACAACTACAAAACCAACAACACCGACAACTGAAACAACAACTCGATCAACTACCACAGAGGAGACGACAACGAAACCTACCACAACTAGAACAACCACTGAACCAACAACACCAACAACTGTGACGACAACTCAATCAACTACCACAGAAGAGACGACTACGAAACCTTCAACAACAAGAACAACTACAAAACCAACAACACCGACAACTGAAACAACAACTCGGTCAACTTCTACAGAGGAGACGACAACGAAACCTACCACAACTAGAACAACCACTGAACCAACATCACCAACAACTGTGACGACAACTCAATCTACTACCACAGAGGAGGCGACTACGAGACCCACTACAAGAACAAGGACTAAAGCAACAACTACGAAACTCACTTCAACAAGAACAACCACCAAACCAACAACACCGTCAACTGTAACAGCAACTCAATCTTCTTCTACTCCAAATCCTACCACAACTAGTAGGACTACTCCGAAGGCTACCACAACTACTCCAAAGCCCACGTCAAGCACGAGAACTACTCCAAAGGCTACCACAACGACTAGAACCACTCCAAAGGCTACCACAACTACGAAGCAGACCAGAACAAAGCCGACGACAACTACTAGGACTACTCCAAAGCCAACCACAACTACTAAAACTACTCCAAAGGCTACCACAACTGCAAAACAGAGCACTACTAAGCCTACCACAACTACTAGGACTACTCCAAAGCCTACCACAACTACTAAAACTACTCCAAAGGCTACCACAACTGCGAAACAGACCACTACTAAGCCTACTACAACTACTAGGACTACTCCAAAGCCTACCACAACTACTAAAACCACTCGAAAGGCTACCACAACTACGAAACAGACCACTACAAAGTCCACCCCATCAACTACTAGGACTACTCCAAAGTCTATTATAACTACGAGAACTACTGGAAAGCCTATTACAACTACAGAAAAGACCACGACAAAACCTACCACAACTACAAGGACAACTAAGAAGCCCAGAAAAACTACGAAAAAGGCCCCTTCGAAATCTACCAAAACTACAAAAAAGACCACAACATCAAAGAGGACTTCGCCCACCACTACCAGAAAACCTAAATCTACTAAGAAATCTAAAACTACAACACCTGCATGTAAAACGAAACCGACTACTAGAAAATCGAGGACAACAAAATCGCGACGTTGGTGGCACGATGATAGTAACCATAAGGAATGGGACGATAATAGAAGCCAAGAGAAATGGAACAATGATAGAAACCATAAGGAATGGAACGATGATAGAAATCATAAGGCACGGAACGAAGAAAGAATCAATCATGGAAGAATGGATGAAGAACGCGATAGAAATTGAAGGATAGATAGTTCATTTAGATCATTACTGTAGATATCCAGTATAGGAGTTAAATATTGTTCAAATACTATGTACTTATTCAATATTATTATTATCGATATTTCCATTAACTATATTAAACAATCATGGATTTTCATTGTTTTTGAGCTATTGAACAATTAATCATGCCTGAAACATATTATGTAGGTAGGTACAGGGACAGGGTTTGTCCAGAGTTTGAGAACGGCCCAATAACCCAAAAATCTTGATATATTTCCCCTTTCAATGAAACCTATAGCGAATTCAATTGGCAGGAACTGGTGGAGTATTTCTCTACTGATTGTATATCTACCTCTGTTTAACACATGCGAGTAAGAAGGAAACATATATACATTGAGAGCAGAAACACTCCACCAGTTCCTGCCAATTGAACTCGCTATTATATTACCTCTCAATTCCAAATGAGCCACCCTGTATATTATTCCATATTTGGCTGAACTCATTACGAATAGGTACCAACAATGGTCCCAGATTTGATGGAGAATTGGTATAGTCTAAGATCCGAACCTAATTCGACCTTCACCGAGCTGATAATAGAACGAAATATATTTTATCATGAATTTAGTATATTAGAAAACATATTAAAAATGGGTTCGCCAAAAAAATCCTGGGCAGACTATTTTTAATTATTTTTCGAAAAATGATTTTTAATTAAATGTATAATGATCAAGTCATTAGCTCTTCACAAAAACGAATATTCAAGCTAACATTATTCCAGAACATATGAGCCCCGGTATTTCCATATTTACCTTTTCGTGTACGTAAAAAGATACGGCCTCTTTCATTTTCGACGAAATAAATAGGAGTACCGTAAGCCGCATAGGCATCAAACAATAACCAGTACTTTTCGAATCAGCTTAAAAACAAATAATTTTATCGAAATTTTACAGGGGACAAAAAATACTCAAAAATGATTGAACACTTGAAGAAAAATAGATAGGAAGTCATTAGCGCACGTACAAAAAAAATATGGGGTTAAGTGTGTACTTGCGACTCCCATCAGTATTTTGAATATTTGGCAGTTATTTTCTGTTTTATTTTCCTCATACGATATAACATTTTGTGCTGAAGTAATGTACCAATTTTGAGATTAATACCTTATTAATTACGCGAGTAATTAGAAAAAACAATTTTTAATTTCCAACTTTGACACCCTGTATATCGAATATGAAGGGCTAAAATGAAAAATGGTATTTAGAAACTCATATTATTTTTGTTAAAGGAATATATGGTTAATGTATTGACCTCCTTTTAGCGGACACCCTGTATATGAAGAAATACATTGAGAATTTGCATTCCCTATGTGATAAAAATATCAATTCATTCTTGAAAACTACTCTACGGCTATATGCCGCCACGACGAACATTGAATTATATCTATTGAACATACACGATAAGAATTTGAAAATAAAATCTTCTGAAGTTGAGAATTTGTATTCTCCTTCAGATAAAAATATGTAGACACATAATATGAGCACGAAAGGAAATTCCTATAATGTTCGTGGAACATCGCGCGTACCTAAGGAGGATAGGGAGATCAGGTAGGTGTTGGTTTTTTTTTAACTTCTGGGGGTTATAAGTTCTTGGAATACTTCCATTGGCTAAGAATTCCGAAGCTTAGCCGTTCTATAGACAAACGAGTTACTGTTCGACATTTTTCAAGGTTAACGACGAAGGGATGTGCTGACTGATGGGCCTGTCGAATTCGTCTGACTGGTATTGCTAGTGATAGAATTATAGCAGAGATTTCTGAGGAACATTTTCTATTGGAAAGTGAAAGGTCGCCGACTTTTTTAATGAGGTCAAAGAATTGGTGAGTGTGACATCACCCACTAGGCGAATGGCTCCTCTCTGGATGGGAAATCCCTTTTTTTCTCCGATTGGCAGCAAATATTAATTTTGCTGACACATATCAATCAGCAAAGTATTACTTTTCCTGCCTAGGCAGCAAAGTGATTATACTCAATGGGAATAAAACATTTGCAAAACATTTAATAGCAACAAATTCAACTCTATATTTTTTGCCGCCTCCCTCATTTCTGGAGGAGTAAGTACTTCCAGGTCGCTATCACTGTCCATTATATAATAATTTGAATATACCGATATTTTTTCGTGCAACTGTCAGAAATCTCATGGATTGTCAAACCATAATTATTATGGACATTTCCATAGCAATAACCCACCATTCCAACAACTGCGATTTCCATCAAATTTTATTTTAATTGAACACTACAGGAAGAATGAAGGGATTGTGGGAATTGTAATAATTTGCAAATACAATAGGTATCCTCCTATGCTCCTATTGTACAATACCGTCCCACAACACATACAAAAAATAAGTAATTCACAGTCGTTTAAAAAAGCACTGAAACAATTCATCTCGAGTCAACCACGACGAAATATTTCGGTTATGATATAAAGAAATAAGATTAATGGATAGGGTGTTGGCTTACTACCCTCTTGTTTTTATTTAGATATTTTTGTAACGATACTATCTGTATTGACTTTCCTAATTTTCTTCGTAACACTGTTATTAATATCACTTTCCTTTTATTCTATTACTCATCTGTATTTTCAATGTTGTTATTTTATTATTATGCGAAACAAGTGCTCTTACACTTATCGCCTTGTGATATTTATACCCGTTACTTTTTAGGTTAAGTTATTTAATTATCATGCGAAACAAGTGTTTTACACTTATCGCATTGTGATATTTATTCTCTTTAATGTACTTTGATCCTTATATATATGTATACTATACTTTCCTCAATGAATATCTTATTTATTATATATCATTATGAACAATCGGAGAAAAAATTATATGTTCAACTCGGCTGCCTAGTTAAACAAATAACTATTTTTTATATACATTTTAGGAAAAAAAGTTATTCTTCATATAAAGTTCTACATGTTCTAAAATCAGAAATACAAACATCAGATATCATATTGTTTCAGTCGTATACGCAGTGTGTCCAAAAAAGTGGATTGTACTCAAGAGTAAAATACCTTTATATATGACACATACGACTGAAAAAATTTGATATCTGATGATTGTATCTTAGATTTTAGAACGTGCAGAACTTCTAATGAAGAACAAAATCGTTTCCTAAAATGAATAATAAACAAGTTTTCCTTATAGTTCCAACCTAGTGAGACATAGGTACCTACTGCATTTGTCGTAAAAATTGATTCTCCAGGTACTGAGCATCACAGTTGGCAAAATCAAGAACCTATATGAGAAAATTCTTAGGGATCATAATAAAACAGGATAAGCATTAAAGACTAAAGAGTGCTTGATACATAAATATAATACAATAAATAACTAATTATTTTTACCATCAAGAAAAAATATACGTGATATGAACAATTTCCTACATCAATAGCTCACAAATAGAATCACTTCTGTGGACAGATTTATGAGAAATTTAATCTTTGATGTTACAGGTTGTTAGTATCACTAGAAACAAATTTGAATTTTCTTTGATAGAGACCTACTATGTCAGTATTCACTTTTTTGTTCATAGACACTCAATAGAGAGATCAATAATTATAATATGATTGGAACATTTACAAAAGTCTTACAAAAATTATATGTATCTTTCACATTAAATACAGTGTATTTAGTGGTATAATTCAGATATTCCTAATATTATATTATATTCAGTTCCTTTTATTGTCATTTTATTTTCATCATCCAATATGAATCTCAAAAATATAATGATTTAGGCAGTTGGGAATTTCGAAAACATGTATTGGAATAGTGACTTATGTGATTCAGTGAGAAAAAAGAGAAAGAAAAACTACAATATGTATATTATACAAGGTGGTCCAGTTGTTAATGTGGAAAATCCAACAGAAAGTTGTACTTGTTGAAATAATAAAAAAAAATATGCATAACATATTATTGACTTTAAAATACAAATCAAAATGAAGATTATCCAATATATAATAATATAATGATTAAAATTACATTTTCTCACTCCTATCTGTTTTGAAATGTATAGTGATGGGTATTTTCTACGGCACTATCCTGATCTATTCACAATCAACAAGTGTTCAGTAAATGAAAATATTTTCGTAGTATTTCAAGAATCTTTCATATTATCAACAACTTGAGCGATTTTCTCTCCTAGTCTCTATAAAATAAAAATATGAATATTATTTCAATTTACGTGTAGTGACAAATCAGATGATTTGCCCCAAAATGTCACTGCATTCAAAGAATTTTCCTATCGGAGAGCCTTAAAGAAAAATTCACTAGCTTGTCAGTGACAATTTGTATTGAAAAAGGTTTGGAGAAGAGAAAAAAAGGTATATAGAAAAATATCAAATTTTTACTTATCTTTGGACGTTGACAATTGGTGACGTTGGCAATCAAATGAGTAACAGGATGTTTTTATTTCATAGAAATGGGGAGAAAATCCCAAAAAAATCTGGAATAATGAATGTACCACCTCCTTGATTAACATACAGACAGTAAATTAACAATGTTGTCCAAAAATCAAAATCTCGTTGATGAAGCTTTGAATACATGATGAAAAAAAAAATAAAAGGAAAACTGTAAGAAACACATTTAATATTTGGTCCTACACAGGGTGAATCTGGAAGTGGTTTTCTTCTCAACAGGATAGATATCTCTCAAAAATAAGTTTTTTGGCAAAATATTGCCGATATAAAATATTTGAGATAACGGAGGTACAGATTAAAGAAAATTCGATCTATGAATTTTTGTTTACATTTTCTCAAAAAAACACAAGAAACCGTTATTAGTCCAGCATTAGATACTCTACAGTTGCATTATTTCATCAGATAAATCAATCAAATACCTCTCTTCACTTTTTCAACCTATTAATTTTCGTTCAAAAGTGATTTTAAAAGTGATCATATTTCCTCTTATATATGTTAAATTGATAAAATCAGATTTTAAATGTACATAACCTTGAAATGCCTCTACCTCCGTTAACTTGCCTCTACCTCCGTTAACCTACATTTTCACATGAACAAGTTTTGGCCAACAACTTATTTAGGCGAGATATATACGTTGTTGAATGAAAAAATTCACTTTCAGATTCACCCTGTATACCTACATATATCAGAGTAGGTACATACATATACCTACCGTTTCTTCACATTTCTGAAAATAAGTAGTAAACGGTCCTGAATTTCAGTCCTAAACCAATATTTCAAACATATTAATTATTATTATCACACTATGTGTCATGATATGAAACGTCTAAAATTCTGTAATTACAATGAGTATAATAATTGACATCAGCGATCAAATTTACTGGGAGAATTCTTCATTTTTACCAGTCAATGTAGGTATATTTCAGTTCCTTCAACCTGATATAATGTCTAGACTATTATTACTGTAAGTCAGTTCGCCTTGATTATCTCGTCTTATCTAGTACGAACCTAAAATTGGTTTTCCTACGAGCGTGCGGTAAAGTAACTTTTCTGCACGATTTTTCGTTTCAAAAGTTGTAATTTCCCGTACGATTTCACTTTTCCGCACGATTTTATCAGGGGTAATACCACGAGAGCTCAGATCTAGACGGATCTTTTTGATCGTTGTTTTCGAATATTCACTTTCATTGATACTTTAACGAGAGCTCTGTTCTGAAAAAATCACGAGAGCGTACATTGTATTACTAATTACTTCTTTTATAATTATTATCTGGAGTTGATTCATCAATCTCCTTTACTATTTTTGCCTCGCAAATATTTTCAAATCTCCACATATTTACTGGAATATCATTTGCTGTTCGAATAAGTCGAGCTCCCCTCTCCGGAATCGTATGCAAATGTCGGGAAACTGATTAATGGATCAGAATTCATTGTTTTGCCAAAGGGCATACAATCTTCAATCATCGACTATAACACTGAAAAATTGTCACTTCCGGTTCGTATGCCGCCCTTGGGGAGTGACCTAGGCGTATGCAAACCGGCAAGCGCCCCAATTTTCGTGAGATAAGATCATTGCACTTCATTGCCGAGCTTCTTCTTAAACAAAATGTTGAACTTTTTTCCAACCGAAAGGTGAGGTCAGGGCCTGGGCAAGGACTGGGTTGCGACTCTCCGAGGCACTCCTTCCTGTTAACTTGGACTAAGTGAGTGGGCCCCTTAAATGGCATACCGACTTAGAACATCGATAAACCCTGTGTCGCGGGCCAACAGCCTATATAGCAATATTCTGGGGTTAATATGTAGTTTTCAATAAAATAACTTTTACCATGTATTTTCCCAAATCACTATGAAGTACTGAGTTAATAAAAATTAGATCTGTTCCAACTTCTTGGAAAAATAATATATTAGTCCACGAACGGGGTAAATGTAGAACAATAAATGTCTGAGAGTGAAACGCACTCTGCGAATATCTGTACTCAACTTGACTAGCATATTTTGGCGCAAGAAAATTTATTCAAATAGCGATATTCATACCCACTATCACATTCGCCCCATTATTACATATAATCTACTTCATCTTATTCTGTTTCATGTGTCATTTTCTAGCATCATTATAAAACCCTGTTTATTAAAAACCTTTTTTATTCATAAATAATATGGACAAAAACACTCGTAGGAAAAACATTGTACCTAACTCTTGCGAGAAATGTCTTTACCGGCTTGCCCGAACTCCGCTCTGGGTCGTTCGTGCAACTGCCGTCGCGTGCGAAAAAGTACTTCTTTCCGTACTTGTTAAGTAAAAAACTATTATTTAGCACATAAGTCACTTTACGAATGGCAAAATTACACCATCAAAATTTACACATAATTTCACATTATTTCTTATATTCCAAGATCACACTGAACTGGTCAACAATCCAAACGTAAAATCGAAAATCTGCTATAAAACTTGGATCAATTTCGAAAGAGCTCCCGTTGGGACGGAATTTTCTTGTAATTTTCTCTGGGGTCAAAAACGTGCTACACAATGTGTTTACTCAACATCGTTTCGAAATTTCATGGTTTGTCATCCTCCTAGCCCTTACGATCCGTACCCTCACAATGGGCGTGTACACCTAAGTAGAACTTTTAACTCAAACCATGTTTATAAAGATCCTTTGATACATAAATAATGATTGACAGCATAATTCGATCGAAAAATGAACTGGAATGTTTTATTTTTGGACATATAAATAATAGTACCTTCTGAAAACGGACCCTCTTATGACGTAGAAACCTCATCTCGCCATAGTTGAAAGAAAATACCAAACGCCCGACCAAGGGCAGCTGCCCCCCCCCCCCCTACGTTTAACGCTCACCAGTCACCCTGCTATCATTGAAACGACCATTTCATTCATCACATAATCTGACCAATCACAAGCCAGAGAAAACGTGTGCTTATCGCGAAAAATAGATGAAGCGAAGTCTGTCAATTTGGCAAAAAATAATGACTGTACTTGTCAGAATGAATCATTCATTCAAAATAAATGCTTCTTTGCTTCGTGAACGTGAAATAGTCTCCACTCTGTTCTGAATATATTCTCATAATTCTTCATTTCCTTGTCAAATCTATTGTGTTGCCGTACAGCTCTACCTTTCGTCCTGACTAGTGGTGTTGCTCAGCAACACAATTTCGTGAACAATGAGGCGACAGAATTATCTCGAATATTAAGAATATCGTTATATTACTTATGATAACGCTCACTTTGAGCAAAGAACTTCCGAAAGTATATTTTTCTCCTGAAGTTGAGAAGGCTCTGAAGATCCTTGTTGCCTTTACCTTGTAAGATTTGTACAGTTGAAAGGTCATTTAGTAGCCTTAGGAGAATCAAAACCTGGTAGAGGAGCACCATGTATGATGCTCGACTCAAAATGGCCTCGCAATGATGAGTATACACAGGCAACATATTTTCAAAAACTTGAACGATTTCGTCAAAAAGTGACCAACGGATTCCCAAAGAACCCTAGAAGATTATTTTTCAACTGATTTACTGTATAGATTTTTTCTGTTTTTTGATTTTCTCATTAAACTCTTTCTATTTGATTTTTCTCTTCAGTTTTTTTATGGTCCCTTCACCTATTTTTTCCGCTATGGCGACGCCCTTGCGCCCGACGGAGACTGAGGCAACTGATATATTAATTCTTTCAACTGTGATCTCGCGCTAATTCACTCTGTCAGAAATCATGTATCATTCATCTCTGTCGGGAATAGTCTTGTTTCAGTATTAGGGCTTTGACGTCACATCATCGCCTCGTTTTCAGAGGTCCGAAAAATCGGGGATTTCAATAATTTTTTATAAAACGTAGGGAGCTCACAGGAAGAAACGGTTTGCGGTGGTGAACTAGTTTGGGTGAGTTCTATCGAATTATGAAATAAAAATATTTTGTGATATAAGCCCATTATACGGGCATTATCTAAGTGATTTATAAGGATCAAAATATCATTTTGCTGGATTGCGAACCAGCTACTTTGCTTGTGAGTGTTTTATTTGCACGGAACAAACCGCATTTGCTGCTTATTTTATCTTCAGGTGGCGTAAAAAAATAAATCATTGTCAATCATCAATTGGTCTCGACTGAAAAATGTTTCCTGAAGGTGAGTGAATCAAAAACATCAACTATATATGATTTTATGCATTGAATGGCAAATGAAAACATGATTCAACATGGTGGTTCACAGTGTCTGTTTCCAAAATTTTTTTCGGGATCAGATTTCAGAACATATTTGTGTACCATCACATTTGTGTGCTCCGGAAGCGTACCGCTACGGATCAATGATAATTTTGAATTGCAAAAAGATCAAGAAGAAATTCACGATTTGCTGGATCAGATAGGATCAGATCTGGAAATCGATCCCGATAAAGATGACCAGTGAGAGTTGAATGCACATGAACAGGAAGAAGTGCCGGAGGAATATTTGTTGAGTGGATGGATGAAAATGCCAATAAACCAAACGTTCTTCTTGCAAATAGAGAAGCTTCTATTTCAACAAATGACAAACAATATGATGAAATTGACCACTGGCCTGTCATTGATTCTCTGAAATCGCCACGGACTTGGTGACTGGAATGTTGCGGTAGCCGTTCAAGGACGAGATGTTTAAAATGCAATGTACGCCTATGCCTGTGCTCGAACAATGAAAGTAATTGTTTCTTCACTTTTCATAACAAACCATAAACAATTAATGCATATTTCTCCATGATTAGCGTTTTTTTCATTCTGAGTTGAAACCCCATTTCACTCCCAAATAACACGATTGTGAGGGTCCTGAACATAATATTACATCATCCTGAAAAAATTCGAAAAAAATTCAGGAAGTTTCTGAGGTTACTCTTAGTCACACCTGCTAGAAAAATTCTGGCTGTACTTTCCGAATTATTTTCGGGAATGTAAGGGCTAGCTGAAAGATGATTTTTTTTTCTAAAAAAATGCATGATTTGTGGGTATATTCTTTCGATGCAGTGGAATTCGCAAACTTTCTGCAGCGTGATAGGAATGACTGACCTTCAGAACAGGATTATCATAAAATTTAGAATAAATCAACAAACTTATAATGTTATGAAAGCAAAGGAATTTTCAATAATTCCAAAAATTTACCCTATCATCCCAGAAAAAAACATTTACAATTTCAATATATCCAAAATCTGAATTCCTCAAAATGTGTCTTGTTTGTGATAAAAGTAACTTCGTTAATCTATTCAAAATTGAGAATACAATAAATTTCTGCCCCAAACTTTTGGAAAATGTTGAGATAGTTCACTATCTCATTCTTATGAGCTGAAACGAATAACGCAACCAGATTCATTAACAAATGAAGCGAGCGCTCAGGAACTCAAGAAGAAATGGTAATCGAATGGGAATTTCATCGAAAATTAGACTTTACGCTCCGAATTTTGACCAGTTTAGTATACATTATCTTATTTTTTCGCTAATACTTTGGATTCATTTCAATTGATAATAAGTCATCGTCCGTTTGTCATGTGTTAGTAGTATTCGTGTCAGATTGACTACTCTTCTTCTTTCTTAAATACATAGTCAGGTACTCTATACACCAGGCAACACAGCCCAACATGATAAGGAACGTTTGGGAATGAATGCACACTGGAAAGCTCTTTGTGTGATCACGAATAACACCTGAAAAAAGTTAAATATATCATTTTCCACTCAATAATTAGCGGATGAATGTATAGGATGGGAGCATTTATACTTGAAAAGACAGTTCAAAAAGCTCCTATAATATCTCTGTGAATACCCAAAAGTTTGTTTTTTCAGTACCAGTAAATTTTGTTCCCCTGTTCCATATACGTATTAATAATCAATACGAATAATCTCTATCTGTTTCCATAGCGAAACATGAAGCCGATTTTTGAATACAAATGACTATCCATAAGGAAAAGTGTTGAAACGATCAGACACATACTGCTTTGATTGAAAGGCTAGTAAACGTCATTGTCCACCGAAACGCATGTCTTTGATGACTACTATTATAATAGCGCATGGCGCATGCGTATTATGCCACCAAATCCTTATGGATATTCATTTGTTTCATATTTTTGGCTTCATCCTGGCACCTGTTATGATCCGTATTGTTTATTAATACGTATATGCCCTGTTCAGATCTCATTAAACTAGCCTTGAATCAATATCAAGTGTGTTACTTGTTTTTAAGACAACTCCAACAATTATTTCCAGATCACGCTTAGTTGATGTTGATACTAATTTTGAATAAAATCGGATTATAATTGAAAAACTTGTCCGCCATATTGGATACGCCATCTTGAATTTTGAATAAAATCGATTCATGTTGAATTTACAAATTTAGACGAAATAATCATTATCTCCGACCCTGAAACCCCCAAAATACCGATTTTTGAATAGAATCAGACAAAATTCGTCCACCATTTTTTTTAAGTGAGGATTACTTAGCTGTGTGCACGTGTATACAGGGTGAGTCATTAGTGTGGCAAACGGCTTTACTGTTTGAGATAGATGGACAAAAATTTCAGAGATGTTCTAGGATCATGAGCAGCACATTTCCAAATTATTTCGCTTTATAAAGGGTGACTCAGAAATGCGTGGCGTATCAAAGTTATACTTTTTCATGAGGGACACCCTGTATTTCATTGCATTTTCGCATTCTTCTTTGTGAGCTGATTTCATCAATGCATCACACTTGGGGTCTAGCAAGAATGATTACAGAGATATAGGGTGTTCAAAATCGAAATTTTTCAACTTTAGGATTCTTTAGCGTCGAAACTATTCATTATTGGTCAAAACGGATTTCATGTCCCTATTCCAATTTTTGATTCACTATCTACTGACATTTAATTGAAACAAATACAGGGTGGTTCAAGATTCAGCATTCTGATCACCCTTGTATCTGTTCCAATTAAATGTCAGTAGATAGTAAATCAAGAGTTAGGATAGGGACATGGAAGCCGTTTCGACCAATGATGAATAGTTTCGACGCAAAAAAAACCTAAAATTGAAAAATCTTGATTTTGAATACCCTTTATCACTGTAATCATTCTTGCTAGATCCCAAGTGTGATGCATTGATGAAATCAGCTCACAAAGGAGAATGCGAAAATGCAATGAAATACAGGGTGTCCCATAAGAAAAAGTATAACTTTGATACGCCACGCATTTCTGAGTCACCTTGTATATACCAATAAAGGGCAGTGTTGTAGTTCGTGCAAGATAATTTATTCAAATTTATTACTTAGCAGAGCGCTTTCGACTGTTAAGTGATCATCAGTGCATACTCGCCAGGTTAACAAGGAAATTTGTCCATAAAAATCTCTCTGGTCCAGTTTAGAAATATCGTCATTATGAGTAAATACGGTACAAACAAATTAAAATTTGATACCCAAAAAGGGATAAAATACAGATTCCATTTTCTTAAGCAGCCATTGTCGCTGCGACATGTCGTATTTACCTAACGAGTATGCACTGATGATTACTAAACAGTCGAAAGCGCTCTGCTACAAGTAAAAAATTTTAATAAATTATCTTGCGCAATATTTTGTTTTTTGTCTAACAACAATTTCATGATGCATTGTCACCAGAGTTATGAGTCAAATCAATCGGACGATTTGAAGTGGGTGAAAATCACGGTCGAAGATTCCGTTACGAACAAACAAACATACATACCAAGCACAAGCGTCTAGCAAGACCAGCGAATCTTTCAAAGGTTATCAGAAGGTTATTCGTGTTTATAGGACTTATAAGGTAATATGAGGAAGGGAAATATCTCTCCTGCATGAAAAAGGAAGTACTTTCAACCTAAGTATATTTTTGAAAAATGAATTGAGTGAAAAAAATTTAAAAAAATTGTCGCCTCGCAGGGATTGAACCCCAGTCACCAACGTGAAAGTCAGATACATTGACCACCAAGCTATCACTTTACTCGTAGTAGTGGTAGTTTCTCAATATGAAAAAGGAAGTAATATCATGTGTTGTGGATGACGTCACTTGACCTCGATGTTTGAAAGATTCGCTGGTGTAGCTAAACGCTTATTGTCATATCACGCTAATACCTATAAGCGTGTTAAAAATTGGAATATTGATGGTTATTCACCTAATAATGGCCCAATAACCACAACGAACATCCCTTTTCCGACCATATGCAGTCCGAAAGCGGCCGGCAGCTTCTCCATAGTGGAATAGTTCGAGGAATATTCGGCGATGGTTATCGTATAGTTGATCAAAGTCAACCCCCTCGCGAAACCACACACGAAAAGCCAAATTACTATCATCGTCCAATCTGTTTGTTCAGCTAGGACTGTAAAAAATAGAGAGATGAATGAGTTCCGCACGGGATTGGAGAGTTGACTCTCGAGTGAAAAACGGAAAAGGAAATTAACGATCTGGTCCAAAAGCAGAAAATCATAAAAAACTCCTGCTGTTTGAAATACGGAACGGAATAAAATAAAATTAACGAAAGTATGCACCAAATTTATTTGAATCTTACGTATTCTTGATGCTGTGTTACCTATTCATTTGGCCTCCTAGGCTGCCAACAAAAAGTCATAAAATATTAGAATACAAGTCCATGATGAGTTCGCAATTCAATATATCAATCAATAGGAAAATTAAAAACAGATAAAGATTTCCTCTGTATTTTGTGAGCAATTCAAGAAAAGCGTCAAGGAAATTATCGAGGAAATTTTCGGTTTTTTGATGTTGCGCGTTAATGAGTTATTTATTTTTATTTACAGGGTGTCCCACTTTAAATATCCCCCCTCTCTGTCTCAAACGATAATAATACTATTTCATCTAGATTATGAATGATATTAGGAAAAAATCTTGTATTTTCTTTAAAAAAGTCATTCACAACCTACGGGAGCAATCAATTCATTATTAAAAATTTAAAAAAATTAAGCTGATCCAGGAAGTTCGGAAATTTCATATAATAGATTTTCAAAGGCATGATGAACAATACTGTGAGGTTACTTTTTCCTGTAGAGAAAATGCCTAAAGTGATTTTGTCAAATATCGACCCTTATCTAATTCAATGAAAAATCACGGCGCTATCCAAAATAATCATAAATCGCATGACTCAAAATTGAGATAAATTTGAGGGGAGGGGACATTTGACGTGCACTTTTGTTTGTATCTTTTCAATACATTTTAGAACATGAGAAATTTCTCCTGTATAACATGAAATGTATCAATTAATGTCAATTTCTTCAATTTTCCAGTTTTCATCTGCAAAGCAGTAAAACAAGAAGACATTCATGTTCAAGTTCAAGTGACAAAATTATTAGATCTCTCTCACTATTTGGCAAAAATCTTATTGTATCGATACAGGGTCACTCAAAAATCAGAAGTAATTATATTACGTCCTGTGATTTTTTTTCTGGTAATTTTTTTTAATTGTAGGCCATGAAAGGTAATGATAAATATTTGAAATTTTTATTGGTAATTTTCTCATGTATTGACAGTAACAATGTTCACACCTAAAATGAGAACATGAAAATTGGGAAATTTTCGTTTACAAATTGACAGAGAGGTGAATCTTGACAGGAATAAGTTGCGTGCTCTCCCTGCATTTTTTATGCATTGTACAACAGCACAATGTGATGGCATGCTTGAATACATGAATATCCCAAGAAACACGATTCGTATGCCATAATAATTGTGAAAAACTATTTCAATCTTATGTAAACAAATAAAAAAAGTGAGGTTGTTTTATCGCCAGGGTCGGTCATCTGTCAAATGTACACGCGAACTATACGAAAGATTAGGTTAGGATACCGAAAGATTAACTTAGTTCAAACTAGAGGATTACTGAATTACTGAAAATCGTCGATAAAGGTGATTTTTGCATTTATTTAGGACAATAGTTGAAAAAATTGAACGACTATGAATATTATCAATGTTGAAGTTATTCAGTCTGAGTAGGAAATGAATCGCTTTCAAATAAAGAACTGGTGAAGCAAGGATCATAAAAACAAATTCATTCGTAAAAAAACAGAGATATGGTCGAACGCGACCACTCAAATAAAAAACACAACTCACCTGATCGACACACTCCCAAACTGAAAATCCCGATCATAAACAAAGACCTCTTCGAAATAGCCATCTTGTCGAAAATGGGCGGCAAAATCAGCCTCGCCAGAATATCTGTGAAGGCCTGGACGGAGAGAAACAGCGCCACATCCTTCTTGTCATAACCGATGCTCTGGAAGAAGAACGGCAACACCGTCTTGAAGTTCTGCTCGGCGACGTACACGAGAGACAGCCCCAACACCAGGTTGAGGTAGATCGGACACCGCAGCAGGTCCAAGTCCATGAAGACGACGATTTTTTGCCACAGGCTTTTCTTCGGGTCACCCGGTTTTTCCGGTGGGGAGAGAGGGGCGGTTTTGGTTTGAGGGGAGATTATGACGCCGGGGTAGCTCATGTTGCGGCGCAATTGTTTTGACGTGGCGAATTGTAGAGGTTCTTCTGGATCTTTCGCCTGAAAAAATGAAGAAAATCATATTTCGATTCACACTGTTCATTTTTATAACTTGAATTTCGGCACGAAATTAGTAGAACTTCGAATGATCGAACAAGAAATGACAAAATCCTCCGCCATCTTGGAGCAGCCATATTGGATTTGTCAGTTTTGATTCAGAATTAGTAATCTTCAACCCTATTGGGAACCCTTAGATGACAAAATCTTATAGACGCCATCTTGATTTTTCGTATTTTGACTACAAATTGGTAATCCTGAATCCCCAAATTTCTGTACGACATTTTCACGCAAATGAAAAAGATAAATAAATGATGAAATCGTCCACCTTTTTGTAAAGAAAAACTATTATTTTATTCACAGGCTCAAAATTCTTACCACCTACCTAACACTTCAACACCAACACTCATAGATGTACATTCCTGATGTATGAATCAGATAAGAGAAATGAAAATCTTGCTATCTTGGAGGCGTCATATCGAATTGTTTAGTTTTGATTCAGAATTAACTTCAACTTTGAACATCTCATCTTCCTAAGTATATATACGTATATTCAGATGACTAGGAATTAGTAAATCCTTACCCAGTGGGACAATTTCAGACAAATCGGAAAATAAATGGAAAAATCATCTACCATTTTGGAGAAACACCCTATTTTTTTTTAGTATTGGCTCAAAATTCCCAATTATCAGAATCAAACACCCATGGATGTAATGGAAATCTCGGCATCTTAGAGACCATCTTAGATTTCTGAATTTCGATTCATAAACGGTTATCTTCAAAAGTAAAAACTTCACAAACGATAAGATTGAAAAGGATCTTTCGCCTGATGGAATGAAGAATATCATATTTTGCTTCACACTGTTCATTTTTATGACATGAATTTCGGCACAAAACTCGTAGTCGAGAACTTCGAAGAATCGAACGAAAAATGACAAAATCCTCGGCCATCTTGGAGAAGCCATATTGGAATTGTCAGTTTTGACTCAGAATTAGTAGTCTTCAACCTCATTGAAAACCCCATGAAGCATATTTTCAGATGACGAAAAATGAGAGAATCTTGTAGACGCCATCTTAATTTTTCGTAGTTTGACTAGAAATTGGTAATCCTCAATCACCAAATTTCAGTAGGACATTTTCAAGCAAATGAAAAAAAAAATGATGAAATCGTCCACCATTGTGTAAACACATATTATTTTTCATGGCTCAAAATTATTTCCGCTTACCTTATTAACCACTTTAAAACAACCATATAGGTATGTAAATTTTTGGACGAATCAGACAAGAGATATGATAATCTTGTCAACTTGGAGACGTCATATTGAATTGTTTAGTTTCGATTCAGAATTATCTTCAACTTTGAAAATCTCTCAAAGTCTATATTCAGAGGACTCGGATAAAAAGAAAATCATTCATCAGCTTGTAGACACCATCTTGTATTTTCTCATTTTGACTAGGAATTAGTAATCCTTTCCACAGAATAAGGATAATTCCAGACAAATCGGAAAATAAATGACAAATTAGTCTACCATTTTGGGAAAAAAATTGATTCTCTGAGTTTCAAATCAAAATGTCGATTAATGTCAAAATCTACCTATACCTTCGGGATGCCATCTTGTTTTTTTGAGTTTTGACTCAAAATCGGTATTAGGCAATCCAATGATCTGTCAAGCTATGCGGGTACACAATATAATTATTGATAGTTAATATATATAGTAGTTTATTATACAAGGGAAAAAAGTAGTAGATTTTAGCTCAAGGTTGTGTTGTCTCCCAACGCGTAGCGGGAAGGAGATAAAAAACCGTGAGTTAAAATCTAATATTTTTGCCGTGTAACTTACATCGAATTGTAGTTGAATACTGGATCCGGTAAAATCCAACCTGGAATAGCTCGACACCAGCGATTCCGAGTTGGAGACTTTCCGTTTCCTTTGTCCTCCGGCGAAGCTAACAGTTGAAAAGTTTCTAGGGAAAGTAGATTTTCTGGTGAGACCACCTGCTTTGCTCGGATCTTCCAAATTTTTTATAATCGCTTCCGAATTTACTTTACTGAGTAAGGTTTGGCCTTCGGGCAAATCAATGTCTTCGTCCTCAGTCTCTTTTATGGTTTCCATTTCCTAGAAAAATCAAAACAACTACAATGAAATTGTTATTGATCTAAAATGCACGAGAAAATCAAGGAAAGAAATATTCATGAAAAAGTGTAAATATCTACCTAATCTGAATAAATCATTCTTTGAGAAAGGCCAATCATAAACAGATATAGAGATTAATGATAATGATGATGGGTGAGTGAAATATGGAAATGCATTGCTATTCATATACAGGATGATTTAGATGACACATTTTCAAATTCTTCAAAATAACTGAGCAACGCCCTGATTGAGGAAACAATATTAACTATTTCACAAAAAAATTATAAATACATTGATTGCCAATTCTATCAAACTGAAATTCAATCACCCTGTATATTTTATATATACTCTGAGTACAGTTCTCTGATATGCTCTGAGTAATTGGTGATAAATACATAATGTGTATCCCAAATTGATCCGATAAATGAAGTAGGTGATAGAGGACGGAAAAACAAAACGAAATGAAGAAATATATTTTTGTCCAAGAACAATTTAGAAATATGTTGATCTTCAAAATTTGTCTGAAATTTTCGTTAATCATTTATGGGAGGTTAACAACCGAACCTAAGCGCCTGCTTTCGGTGAGGTCAAAGCACGTGAATAATGGATTTCTGCAATGTTTTCGGACGTTCAGAAATAGTTAAGAGGTGGTATGTGGCGACAGCGAACATATTTTTCAAAAGATTATTGAAAATAGAAACGTATTTATCCTTCCAATTCCGGCAACACTATGTATTTTCATCATATAGAGTTATGATTGTACATGCTATTTTGAATATGAGTATGAAATTCCTAAAGGAGGAAACAATTGGTATGGTGCTCAATGATGGTCTAATGAAAATCTACTTTATGATATGAAGACATATGGTATAAAGAATTTTTGAAAATTATTTTACCTCATTAGACGCAAAGTAAAAAAGTCTCTTCTGCTGCAGCGATAAAAAGAAAATGTTGTTGAGGTTACACAAAAATATTAGGTAAATATTTTTTTTCGTCGACCTCTAAAAACCGACTATTTCCGAAGAATGTTTGATTTGTTTGTTTCTATTTTGTTGGGAGTAGGTTACTTTTCTGTTTACTAAAAGAATCACTGCTAAAAGTACATAATGTTTTGAGTAATAGCAGGTTTATTTCATTATCCTCTCTTGGAATTCGTATAGCATAAAAAGATCTGAGTTTTTGACAAGGTATTTAATGCTGAAATGAAAATCGAACTGGCAACCATGGTCCGCGCGGAGAGTGAGTTGACAACAACTATCATTTGCTGTTGTCAAATTGATTATTCACGAAATCCGATAGATTTCAAGTATGAATGGGACCGTGATGTGGATACAAGTGTTTGAGGTCGACGAAAAAATTTAATATGCACCTCCGAGAAAAACTGTCTATTGTCTCGACTATAATAGACAGTTTTTCATCCTTGGTACATAAATAACGGTTTTTCATTTCTATCAGCAGTTTCTGATTATTTCAAGAGATAGATGAAATTTTGTACACTTGACAACAATATGGTGACCACTTCTAGAACGAATAGGCTAGAACGGTTAACAGTATCCTCAATCAGAGGTAGGCAATGATCTCTGCCTCAAGTACAGCTGACCATCATCTGACGAAAGAATTACAAGCTGCAATATACTTCGCAAAAATTATTCTTGGAAATGGAATGGATATCTTTCCATGCGTAGGAAGATTCCATTTTTTTTAGCCAGTCTATTTGAGAAGTGAATCCACTGCATTGACTTCTCTAGACTAGTACAATGTGAGGTGTCCATCTCAAATATACTGTCCCATTCTGGATGATTTAATGGACAACAGAGGTGAGAGAGGTCTTCAAAATAGCTGGTTTTCTTTCTCAATAAATATAGTGTTTTCATTCACTGACTGACCGATCTTGTTCTACTGTATTCAAATCATTCTTTGACATGTTTTCAATGAATTTCCTACACTGTGTGACATGAAATTTACAATAGTCTTTCGGAAATGAGATCATTCTTATTAAATCGTATTACTGCTGTCATGTTTCAAAGTATACATCATAAAGTATATCCTCATGCAAAAAAACAACAGAGATACGTAAGAAAATGTATAACTGGCACTGTTGCCGACAATGTGCGCATGATCACATGTGTACAAAGCACACTAGTGGTATCAGATTCGAGTGATTTCTCAGACTCATTCGCCTCCTAGTTATTCCTTATTTCACTTCTGTGGCTTGAATCCCAACACCCTACCACACCACAAAACCAGCTGAATGGTCGAAGGGTCTGTTTCATGTGTTCCGATCGAATCGGTCGTTTATTAAATGCAGTAGCCTTTACCTGATGGTATCCCCCTTCTTCCTTGCAAGTATCCTCTGGTACGAAGTGCCACTCGGCTGGCTGCAGCACGCTGGACCCCGCGATGCCGTTCATCGCGAAGGCGCCCAACACGAGGATTGCCCCCCGGAAGCTGTACCACTCCAACAGGTACCTGATGATAAGCAGCAAAAACCTAGTTATTGCCACGATAAAACGAAAACACCAAAACAAATGACAAATGAACAACAATGGTAGATCAGCATTTTGGCTATTTCCCTTAATTGTTCATTCGCACTAACAAGATGATCCACCTGAGTGTAAAATTTTGAAGCCAAATGTGACATTAGTTCTTGGCTGGTTCATAGGCTGCGCTAGCGACTCTTTAAAATATGACCGATTTGTCGTCTAGACTCTCGGAATCTGTCGTATATTGTTAATCTAATTTTATTTTTCGATAATTGTCCACGTCATTCCTTGTAGTGAGACGGAAAGAAAAGTAGCAACCGGAATCGGAAATGTTGCAAATAAAACGACACGTTAAAGTGATTCCGGTGGCGGAATCGGATAAATAAAACGCAACTAAGGCTATTTCGTAGTTAGGTACCTACCTGATGGCCTGCGGCATCAGCATCATGCCGAGAGCTGTTCCTGCGAGCGAGAAGCCCACCGCTTGGCCGCGACGTTTGACGAAATAGTTGCTGAGAGCCACGAAGGTGGAGGAGGCCGCTAGGCCTACGCCCAGTCCTGGAAAATTTAGAGAGGTTAAACGAAACGTCGGAGTAGGCTAGGACCACCGACAAAAATTACTCATTTATGGTCGGTTCCATTGTCTGCTAAATATGGAGAAAAAATCTAGTGAGCTGGAGTCTCCAGCTCACTAGATTTTTTCTCCATATTTAGCAGACAATGGTCGGTTCATAGAAATAACTATGACCGTTACCATCGAGGCTATAGACACGGCCAGTTTTTCATCCATTTTCTGAATGAGAATTTGTATTCAGAATTTACTGCACCGTGTATAAGAGAAACAGAGAGTCTGAATGCAGAATTGGATGAAAAATTGAACATGTCCTAATTTTATGTTGAAGCGCTTGCGTATAACGCCGATATTTAACCTACGAATTGTTTGTTTTGTTTTGAAACAGTTCAGAAAAAATTTCTAAAAGCCTACTTCAAGAAGTATATGGAATCTATCAGAACAGAGGTTATGATTATGAATCACTTCTCAGAGAATTCCATTTCATTTCGTTGAAAAAACATCGGGAAATTATAGACCTTATTTTCATATACAAATTGATACATAACCAAATTGACTCGTTCTGTCTTGCTATCATTACTCAATTTCAATGTACCTTTTATAACTTCACGATCTAATATCACTTTCCATATAGTGAGCATTGGCCATATTTAAAGATTGAGTAAACGAAGTTGTTGTATTTCCCGACATTATCAAAGTCAATAAAACGATGAAGGGCCAATACTTATTCGCTTCACTGGCAAAGTGACTACAAGAATGTGAAAGGCCAACAGATTTTTGCCGCTGAAGTCATTCCCCCAGCAAAGAAAGCATTGGGCCAATAACTTCCCGGTAGTTCATTGTTTGTTGGGAATTTTATGTTTTCAAATTAAAAAAGTCGTGGAGATGACTTTGTGTTTTTTTTCATTGGTTATGTCAGTGTCTTCACTCACCATTGATAATACTGTAAGTGACGAGTATGTGTCCCATACTCTTGGCCTGTTTAAAGATTGAGTAAACGAAGTTGTTGTATTTCCCGGCAACACCAAATGTCAATAAAACGATGAAGGGCCAATACTTATTCGCTTCACTGGCAAATTGACTACAAGAATGTGAATGGCCAACAGACTTTTGCCGCTGAAGTCATTCCCCCAGCAAAGAAAGCATTGGGCCAATAACTTCCCGGTAGTTCATTGTTTGTTGGGAATTTTATGTTTTCAAATTAAAAAAGTCGTGGAGATGACTTTGTGCTTTTTTCATTGGTTATGTCAGTGTCTTCACTCACCATTGATAATACTGTAAGTGACGAGTATGTGTCCCATACTCTTGGCCGGAAAAGTGAGCACCAGCCCCAAACTGCACAACGCCGTCCCGACGAGCGACACCTTGCGGAATGTGAAGGCCCGGATGAGCGGCCCCACCAGCAGCCCGGAGAAGTTGATGAGCGCGTCGAGGGTGCTCATGATGACAGCGGCGCCCGTCGTCTCGACGCCCAGCTCTTGCAGGAGGTCGCCGAACAGCAGGCCGAAGGACTGCTCGATGGATCGGGTGCACAGCTGAGGATGATAAAAAATTTCAATTTAATTAAATATTGATCATCGTGACGAGCTTTTACGATCATATAAATAGGTGTAAGAAAGCTACTATATACAGTTCTCAACACACCAAATGGACCACTCATAATTTCACTCTATTTCGAAGACCTGTATTTTTTTTTAAATTGTCCGATCTTCATGCGGTTTTCGATATCAGATGTGATGTTTCATCGGCTTCGTAGAGAGCTAGAACACTCTGAAAAAGTCCGCAAACCAAAACTTACACAGGGTGTAAAGTGGAACCATTACACTATGGTCTACATTTCCAATGCTGCCAGAACTCGAGAAATTTTTTTCTGATCAAAAGTCAGTCATATTATGATACACTGGGACCTCATCTCGGGACGTTTTCGTGATTTCTCCTTAATTGGCCATTGGAACAAAAATTCGATTTTTTTTCGAAAGTCTTGCATTTCTTGATTTTCTTCTCTAGAACTCTACTTGAGCTGACTATTGGGAAGACCTATTCTCATGTTTTAAGGAGGACAATGAAATACGAAGAAAGCAGTTTCTTGGAATATACAGGATGATAAGAAAATAGGACAAAATCTCATTTCAGTGAAAAAAAATCAAAAATGGTGACTAAAACTATATGGCCCATTCGATCCAGTATATTCAGAAACGGCCTTCTCGATATCCATTATTTATATTAGACTATTAACTCGAGATGTTTTCGAAAATTCGCCTCCTCTAAATGAAATACAGGATGAAATTTTTCAATTCAAACTTGTTTCCTGATATCGATGATTTTCAATATTTATTGCCCAAGTATGAGAAACGGAGAATTGTTGTTCAATATACTGAGTGTTTTACAACTTATCTGACAAATTTCAACCACAACTACGATATTATATAAGAGGTCTATTACAAAAATATTTTATAGAAGTGAAACGAGATGGAAAATGAAATTTGTAACACTTTATATCAACTAAAACTATTCGAAAAGGATGATAAGAAAATAGGACAATACAGGATGAAAATTTTCAAATCAAACTTGTTTCCTGATATCGATGATTCTTATCTTTTTATCAACGGATTTCCAATATTAATTGCCCAAGTATGAGACACAGAGTATTGTTGTTCAATATACTGAGTGTTCCACAACTTATCTGACAAATTACGAACTCTAGAAAACAATAATGTTAGAAGAATGTGGTGACCAGCATTATCTCCAGATCTGAATTTGATTGAACATGTGTGGAGCCTAATGAAACTCAACCTATCGAGAAGGCAAGGCACCCCAAAATAATGACAACCTTATCCAGAAATGGGCGGCAATATCAATAGACTTCATCAACAACCTCATAGAATCTATGCCAAACCGATTTCATGAGGTTTTGTTGAATCGGGGGGGCCTACCAAGTACTGAAATTTAGGATATAGGACTTTCTTGTTGGATCTTCATAATGCTGAAGAATTCAGTAATGTCATATTTCGCCAATAGATCCCTTTTCGAATAGTTTTAGTGGATATAAAGTGGATATAAATTTGTCAGATGAGTTGTAGAACACTCAGTACATTGAACAACAATACTCTGTGTCTCATACTTGGGCAATAAATATTGGAAATCATCAATATCAGGAAACAAGTTTGAATTGAAAATTTTCATCCTGTGTTTCAATTAGAGGCGAATTTTCGAAAACATCTCGAGTCAATAGTCTAATATAAATAATGGATATCGAGAAGGCCGTTTCTGAATATACTGGATCGAATGGGCCATAGTTTTAGTCACCATTTTTGAGTTTTTTTAATGAAATGAGATTTTGTCCTATTTTCTTATCATCCTGTATATTCTAAAAAAGTGCTTTTTTCGTCTTTCATTATCCTCCATAAAACATGAGAATAGTTCGTCCCAATAGTCAGCTCAAGTAGAGTTCTAGAGAAAAAAGTCAAGAAATGCAAGACTTTCGAAAAAAAATCGAATTTTTGTTCCAATGGCCAATTAAGGAGAAATCACGAAAACGTCCCGAGATGACGTCCCAGTGTATCATAATATGACTGACTTTTGATCAGAAAAAAATTTCTCGAGTTCTGGCAGCATTGGAAATGTAGACCATAGTGTAATGGTTCCACTTTACACCCTGTGTAAGTTTTGGTTTGCGGACTTTTTCAGAGTGTTCTAGCTCTCTTCGAAGTCGATGAAACATCACATCTGATATCGAAAACCGCATGATTATCGGACAATTTTTTAAAAAAATACAGGTCTTCGAAATAGAGTGAAATTATGAGTGGTCCATTTGGTGTGTTGAGAACTGTAAATAGGTTTCATTCATCACTTTAGCGAATCAATCCTAAGCTGGTTGAAATTACATCACCCAGTATTATTCACAGTTCATCGAAATCGAGAACCGAACCGAAATAATAGTTGACCATTATGACCGCAAATGAATTTTTAATAGATTTAGTTTTGATATGTTGCGACCAGAATACTTATATTCTCAAGTAACTATAGTCACATTAGTATAAGATGAAAAAGGGCATGGTATCGAGATATAGTTGTTGGTTTTTTACTATGCCTTTTTCCAACAATCCGATATCATTTATGCATTGTAGAACGGACGAGGCTAGCTCGGTCCATCTGAACGAGCTCCAAATAGATTTCTTCAAACACATACTGTAAAGGGTCTGAGATGAGTTTATTGCTTTTGCCCATGCAAAGGCAACCAATATATACTACGTATATTTTCTAAGAAGAATGATAAAATTTGATTTGAAATATACTTGAAGACCCAATATGAAGATAATTAATGTTTTCTTCAAATGTTCGAATTACTCACGTTAACGATACTAACGCCGATAACGACAATCCACCCCCATCCTCCATCAGGTGGCACCATTTTCTTCTGTTCGTGAAACATGTTACCAGTCTACCTGTAAAACATCATAGATATAAATAATCATTAATTTCTCACTTGAATAAACAATATTATGAATTCATCCAAGACGAATGCGATGATATAGCCAGTTACGCTAATCAAAGACTCTATGGTCTCTATCTACTTTTGACGTATATCCCTTCCCCAATAGAACATCCTCTAAAAATCAAATCACGTCAGTTCGGTATTCGATTCCATGAATCAATAATAAATAAGTCACATAAGTTTTACCTTCACCATTTTACCTAGCTCTAGAGTTGGGTTCAGACTTGAATCTCTATGTCTTTGAGGAGTATACTATATATGTGTTTTCAACTGATTAATCGATAATCCATACTCATTATACAAGCGGTGTATCTAAATAACACCGAAAAAATTCAAGGAGAAATTACTTGTGATATTCAAGGGAATAAAGTTCATATAAACATGTATCCTAACTTGCTTCGTTTTCGAGATACAGGGTGTAATATCTCCATGAAAAATAGTTTCTTAATGCATTACTCAATTGTCTTTTCATCGATTTTAATAAAACGTTGTGGTTTTGTTAATATATTATAGAAACATGGAGCTTCTTCTTTTGTTTTGCAATTGCATTACCTCGTTGGTCCCAGCACTGGGATCAAACGCCCCATAAGTCGAAACTTGTGCGGGGTTAGGTATGCATACAAACACAAACATCCATTCGAACCTATGTCTCGGTGGGAGTCCCCATACGAACTCAGCGCCTTCACGCTCTCGACCACCGAGCCTGGTGCAATTAAATTTGAAATAATATTTCCAGTAGCGACATCAGACAGTGGGTAAATTTATCGATATTTATGGTGAATGTACGCCACCGGTTTTTCTGATTCTCATATTTTTATTAGATAGAATTATTAAAATAACAACTTCTTTATCCTCTGTGTGATTTTTGTATCTAGCTTAGTTTTTGAGGCAACAATAATAAAAAATCCAATTGACTCCAAATTTAAATGTAGGTGTTTTCAAGACTTCCATTGAGATTACTCAATAACCCCAATTAGAATCATTTTGAAATTTTGGGGCTTAGTCACTGAATTTTGGCACCATGCAAGCTTATACAGAGTGGTTATAAATGAAAACAATTTCCCCCTGCCAACTTCAACATCCTGTATCTCGAAAACGGAGCAAGTTAGGACACATGTTTATATGAACTTTATTTGCTAGAATATCGTAAGGAATCATCACTTGATTTTTTTGGTGTTTTTTAGATTCACCCTGTATTATTTAAATTATTGTGAAATTCAAGAAATTGAATATTCCATAAATAATGTTTTGATCTTATACAGAGAAAATAACTGTTACCTCTACTATCATTAAACGAGCGCACTCTATACTATGAAATATAACCATCATCCTGAAATGCTGATAACCTATAATAATTGTTTTTCTTATCAATGGATATTCTAAGATAATTACCTTTAATTCAAGTAAGTAATCAATAATCGAGTTTACAGAGGATCTTGCTTTATCGATATTTTCTATTGCATTACGTGATTAGATAAGTAGGTATCTACTTCGAACGATGTTAAGGACATGATACATCAATATGGATTGACACGCTTTGATTGAAAATAATTGCCATTTATTGTCTACTTGGACAATGCCTAGGCAATGGAATTTTATGATAAATTCCTATATACATTCGATTTTCGTTTCAAATTTATCGTATTTTGGGAATATTATATATTGGTGGAATGTGGATGATGTGGAGAATTTTTTCAATGGACTTTTCATCAGGACTCACTACTAGGGATTTCTTCTATGGAGATATTTGTGAATCACCCCTCAAATCATCCGAAAGTATGATATAGAAGAATATACCTTATATTCAGACAATACCATTCGTTCCAAAAAATTATGAAAATGTTCTAATGAATCATCATTATAATAATATATTTCTTCGGAATATTTCCTCAATAGCATAAAAACAGGACGAAAGAATCATCCTCGAGAATGTGATTCTTCCGAGAATATACAAATTGGATAATGGTTTATTCCTCCCAGAATATCATAATCTCATTAGAATCATCATCATAACATATTCCTTCGGAATATTATACAGTGTGACCCATTTAAAATGGAACCACCCCTGTATCTTACGTAATCGTTGGGTAAGGATCCTGAAATTTGCTGGAGCGAGAGATATACCAAAAATGCACTCTATGACCAAGTGGGGTCATCTTCAGTGATATACACTGCTCGCCAACAGCCATGAATCCACCCCAATTTCCGGAAAATGACATTAGGAGTCAAAATAGGTTGAAAATGACGTCGGATTTGGAATCAGGACGCCCAAGTTACTAACTATTAAGTTTTCCTAGAAGATTTTCGGTTCAGTAAAATTAAAATTTGTCTCACTTCTCTTGGAAGCACCCCCGTATCTCACGTAATTATTGAGGTAGGGTTCTGAAATTTGCCGGAGGAAGAGAAAGTCCAAAGATAAAGTCGATTACGTGAGATACGGGGGTGCTTCCATAAAAAATGCGACAAAATTTCATTTTTCCGAACTGAAAATTTTCCAGGAAAAATTTGAATAGTCAGTAAATTGGGCTCCTGATTCCAAATCTGAAGTGATTTTCGACCTATTTTGACTCCTAATATCATTTTCCGTAAATTGGGGTAGTTTCATGGCTGTTGGCGAGCAGTGTATATCACTGAAGATGACCCCACTTGGTCATAGAGTGTATTTTTGGTATATCTCTCGCTCCAGCAAATTTCAGGATCCTTAACCAACGATTACGTAAGTTACAGGGGTGGTTCCATTTTAAATGGGTCACACTGTATAATCTCCAGAAGTTCAAAAAAATTCCAATACCTACCTCCTGTCCCTATCCTCCCTAGGAACGCACGATGTTCATTGAATATTATAGGGATTTCCTTTCGTGCGCTCCAAGCGATAAAAAAAACAATGGAGTCATTGTGATATATATCAGATACAGAAATAAAATTGATGACAAACAAAGTACCTCATTGATGTATCGAACATTCATAGAAGAATTTGAATATGAATCAAATGCGATAGGAATGCGGAATCTGAGTATATAAAAAATTTTCTCGTGTTTCCGAACGTGAAATAGCAGAATTATTCAAATCTCCTCTCCTTCTACCTACCATATTTCAGGAAACTTGTTGGGAATGTATTCATTGAGGTATTCATTTTGCAATATATAAATATGTCCTTGATATAATGATACCTATTAATTACCTATATACGCCATAAATATAACATGTGAGTGCGTTGAAAGATTACAACAAAATCGGCTGAACCCTTATCGTTTCGAAACTTGGGAAGTATAACTCTTATTTATTTTGTATAATCTATATACCTACTACGAGAATAAAATAATCGCCGATAGGGATCAAATCAGGTGGTCTCGGTAGTCGGTGGTTCATTTACTGTTTCTTAAATATTTTCGTAACAAGAAATATAATTATGCGAAAAAAAATTAATGTTCCAATAATGAAATTATAGACTTGTCAAAATCGAGCGATCAATTATTGAATTTCAAAGGAGAATCGTTTTCAAATGGACAACTGTATAGAAAATCCACAGGGTGTGCTGTTTTTACAGCAATGGCAATTTATAATTTCCTCTACTAAGTATATATAATACCTACTCAAATACGGATGACCGACCCTGTATTTGTTGGTATACTTAGTACCTACAAGTAAATGCTGTTGACTTCAAAACATCATCAGCTCTCTATTAATTGATGTTACTGACTCTGGTCATTTTAATATGACCTTGACTGTTATTTTCATCGAGGGCTAATGTGTCGTATGCCTCTTATATTGCCACGAAGTTTTCACCATAATATACATGGCGCCGACACAAATTATACATAATTATACACAATTATACAAATAAAAATCCAATTTGGAAATATAACAAATTTCATACACCAACGATTCAGAAAAATTTTTGTTCGAAAAAAAGTGATTTTACGTGTTTCCATATATACTTAATGAAATGATAACATGACTGTAAAATACACACACAAAAAGGCACGTTAGCAAATGTATGTATTTTTGGCAAAATATCAATGACAAATTCAGAAATAAATTATTGACAACTAACTTCAAAATATCAAATTATATCATCTATCTCCATGCACTGGGTGTATAAATCAATGGACTTTACATTCTCCACCCCGTGAAGATATGCGATCTTCACAACTAACTTGCCGACGTTGGGAGAATACATAGTTTCGTGACTGGCCTCGTATAAATTCCTTTTTTTGTTTTTATTTGTGCCACTCTCGGTGTACCATCCTTTCCAGGATAAGTTTCTTGAACTCGGCCTAATAACCATTCATTTCTTGGGAGCTTTTCATCCATAATGATAGTTATATCTCCAATTTTTATTGGATCAATTTTTTTGTGCCATTTTTGTCGTTGTATTAGCTGTGGTCTATATTCTTTTATCCAGCGTTTCCAGTAAGAATTTGCTAATGATTCAACGAGACGCCATCGTTTCCTCGTCAGGTGAGTTTCATTTTCTATATCACCATAAGATTTAACTTGGCCTGATCTCAATAAAATGAAATGATAAGGTGTAATAGCTTCAGGTTCTGAGGGATCTATGGATATGTGCGTAAGAGGTCTAGAGTTAATCATATATTCTACCTCCAGCATCAACGTCATTAGCACTTCTTCTTTCGGATTCATTGATTTGAGAGTAATCTTCAGAGCGGTTTTCACAGATCGGATCATTCTCTCCCATATGCCTCCCATATGAGCTGCGCCTGGTGGGTTGAATTTCCAAATGATGCCGTCTATACTCAACTTGTCAGCAATTTCCTGATTGTCCAGACGCTGTAATAATTCTCGTATCTTCCTTTCAGCGCCTACAAAATTCGTCCCATTATCAGTGAAAATTTCTTTCGGCTGTCCTCTTCTACACATGAATCTTCTTATGGCCATGATTGTAGAACTTGTGTCCAATGAAGATGCCAATTCAATATGTACGGCTCT